TTCCTTTGGAAAATTTGCCTTTTCTGATGATTTTGTAAATAACATGTGCAAACAATTTGAACACGCAAAGCTTCTCTGGTGCACTCAGATAAAAGCAACAGCTGAGATACTAAACTGTTACCTAGTTCTTCTTGTAAAGAATAGTTGAAATGAGGATTATTATCCACGTTTCTTCTTTAAAAAGTCACATAAAGGCCAGTGACTTATTACTGATTTTCTTATTTTAAAACTCTCATTAGAATAATTGTGCTGTTCTAAGAGGAATTAATTAGTAAAGTAACATTTCCAAGCATTTGTCTGAGGATCTAAGGAGTCATTTCACCTTACATGCTGAAACAGAAACCAGAGAATTCTATCTGACTAATTACCTTGGACGTATTAGTCATGGTGGTCTCAATTATTCAAATAACTGCAATGAGAAAAATAGTACTCTATTTTTTTTTTTTTAATGTAAGAACGCCACTGTTCCTAGTACATAGGGAAAATAGCAGAAGTTTGGAAAAAAAAATATCTTTTTTTGTTAAAAAATTATGAGAAACAAAACCTTACCTTAGAGACAGTTATCTTTTTTTTTTTTTCATTTGTTTATTTTCTAGTTCTGAAAAGAAAGTGTTTGCTTATTTCAAAGGTGAACTAGAACTTGGACACCATTTTGGTAGGAAATTAGTTTCCACCACCCAGTCCTTTTTGTGTCATGTCTTTATCTCCCTGTACCTCTCAATTCCTAATTACCTCCTGGTGCTTTTCTTCTTGCTCTCCCCTTTATAAATATCGGCTCAGTTCCTCAGTGTTTTTCCCAGGGCATGTCACGCATGTGAAATACCAGATTCGTGACAACTTCTTGTCTGTGCATAGCAGGGTACTCCAGCCATGATGCACTTGAGGACTTCAGGCTCTGAAGGTACATTGCTTCAAACATTTGCAATGACTTTTGGAATTTGGAGTGCAGTTACAAGGGGAGTTGTGCTGTCCCTTTTTATTCCCACTCTCTCCCCTCAGTTTTGGACATAATTCTTCTCAAATTATCAAATTTCCTTCATATGATGTACCAGCTTCCTGGGCTTGTGTGCAATGTAAAAGAACAAATACCTTAAAGCTACTGCCAGGCTAGAATTTGATTGCTTGTAGTTATTAGTGTAGCTTTATAATTGGGAAGAATGCTATGATTTGACTCATTATGCAACTATCTCCATAAAAGGAGGAAGTATTTCTCTTCTTGGGAGGAAATTACAGTGAGTAATCGCTGGTGCTGAGCTGAATTACACAAGCTGGTGCTAAACAAAGCTACATTGCAGAGGAAGAAATCCATATTAGGACAGTATATTACAGCATCTTGCTGACCTGTACGTGCCCCTTTTTACACCGTTGAATTTTCAGAATGCTCTCAGCATTTCAACCAACAATCAAGTCCAGAGTACCACTTAGGCTTTGTTTTCCTTCCTCTGACAGTGTCTGAAATGCATTAACCAGGAGTTGGTGAATTAACAGAGCATGTCATTATCGAACGCTACCCATCAGGAAACGGGAAGTCAACACTCACAGGCTTTAGAAAATGCTTAAGGGTAACGGTGGGAGGTCAGGTTTGTGGGAAGATGTAGTATGAAGGGCAACGGGGTTTTAATACACTCACCATGCAGGAGGGAGGCCTTAATTTTACATGTAGATGAGATTAGAAACAAGATTGCATACTTTAGTTTGTGTAAAAGGGAAGCATGACACGAGCAGGGTTTTGTAGTCTCTTTCCATCTCCCTTTTTTCCTTTCCTCAGGAGCATTTAAAGGGGAAAAATACCAGGGCATCCTAAAGCACTGAGCTGTGAACAGCTCTCGCTGTGCTGCTGTTTCAGCTCTCCCAAACAGGGCTGTGCAGTACCCATCCATCAGGGCTATAAAAGATTCATTCACTGTCCTGCTTGGTTTTCATCTATTTTAAACATTTAGAGACCTACTTGTGTGCCCTGTAAAACTTACAACAATCACAGTGTTTGAAAAATCTTTCTAGCGAGGTAGGTGCCTTTTTCACTCAGGATGGCTACTCTTCTGCTATAGATTACCATTGAAGCATTTCACTGTCATGAAAACATTTTGGAGGGATTAAATTTGTAGTCATTTTCATACTTATTAATTATTCCTGACTTTATTATATTTACTCCTTGCTATTTTTATTTTGCTAACATCCTGCCATTCTCTTTCCCTCTCCATTTCTAAGGCCCAAGCCTGCAGCCAGACACAGTCTGAGGATGGGAAAAGGTTGCCATGATCAGCAAAAATAATCCGCATTGGTTTGTGATGAGGAAAAAGTCAGTACGTTAATTTCACCTAGTTCTGCTTTGCCAGAAAGAAGCGTTTTGTTTTGTGGTGCTACAGCAGAACTGGAAGGCTGACATCCACCAGGTGTGTCCAGACACCTAACCCCGTTCTGCCACCTCAGACTAGGACAAAAAGCTGGTCCCACATGTGCTTTCATCCTCCATGAGCAATTCAGCTTTCTGTTTCTGTAGTTAAAACATTTAACCCCCTCCTGTTTGGGTATAGATTGGTCCCTAAAATCTAATGTATTTTAATGAGAATCTTCTATTGAAACTGGTCCTTTATCAACAGGACGTAAAGGAATCAGACAGAACTGCACTATCATTACACAGACACATTGGGGTACTTACCCATTTCGGACCTGTGGGCTTGCAGCTTCAGAATCCTCTCTCTCTTCCTGGTGTGAGGAGATCATACTTGAAGGGTAATCTTGAGTATCCTCCCTGAGCCCTTCTGCCTCCCAAAAACCATCTTCCTTGCGGGACAGAGGAGTTCTCTGGGGGTATGCAGAGGTCTCATGAATTCGTGGCTTGTGCACAGAACCATCATGATACCCGTGGTGGTCTGAGTGTTTGACCAGCTTTGCCAACCCTATTGCATTACAGATGAGCAAAAGCTTCACTAGCATCGTGGGGTTTCTCCCACCCAGTTACACCTGTCTCTTGTTCTCTTCTCTGAAGCGCAGCCTGGATTAATTCAGGAATGCCCCGGCAATAGTCTTTAACTGGAAAGTTGGAAGAAGGAAGGAAAAAAAAAAATTATAACAAAGAGCGGAAAAAGCTTTCGACCCTCCCAGCTACTGTGGAAACGTCCGTGGCTATTGAACAATGTGAGCCTGGTTCCTGTGTGGGGCTCAAACGTCTCTGACAGAGGGGAAAAAAAAGGTGGTAGGAATATAGCTTATTCAAGGAACTTCTGAGCCTGGCTGCCTTCTAAACTTATCTGTGAACAGGAACTCGGCTTTTATCGACTGCCTTCTCCCTCAGGCACAGGAAAAGGATGTTAGCTTAAAGGAAAGGAAGAGAAAAGAAAGAAAAGAAAATACTGAGTAGTGTAACAGACTCTCATTACACCAGAAAGTGTCACAGACCTGCTTGCTCTAGTGTCTGCACATGGGTTTTTTTGCTTTAACAGCAGAATATTCATGGTATGTACAACCATGGTGGTGCAACACGTATCTCCCCATCCTGGCCTTGGGTGCTTAGTGCGGTTTCCACCCCCAGCCTGGGCCATGTAACACTGCAATGGACCAGAATGTTACCTGAGATCCATAATGTTCTAACATAAATGAAAGAAAAGGGCTGAGAGTAACAGACTAGAACACTGTGGCAACCCCTTAACGTACCAGGCTCCCATGAGGACGATCGCTTGGGAACAGGAACAGTAATCGATCGCTCCTGAGAATGTAAGGACCGTGCCCAAAGAGGGGGCTGATACCAGAACTCCAAGATATAGCAAGTCCTGGCCTTGTGTGGTTTGTAAAAAAAGTACTGGATTATTCCATTGTCCAAGTTATCCAGAGTGGAAAAGCACCTGGTGAAAGTCAGCTATCTAATTGTCTCGGACCCTCTAAGTAGCGGTTCTAGTGAGACCCTTGGAGCTCTTCTGACTTGCTGCAGGCTGTGCCCAGTACCTCCCAGAGTTGGGATGCCACTCAGGCTGACACCTTGAGCATTAAAGGGCAAGGGGAGTGGACCCCCCCTTTAGTCCCAGTTATTGCCCACTGAGGATTTTATTTACTCCAGAGGATTGTATTTACTCCAGACTCAGAGAGGGAAATTTTAGCTATAGGCTATATAGCCTCTCTCTCATCCACCTCTTTTATATACACATTAGCTCTTATGAGTGTGGATGTTCTTATATTTTACTGGATCCAAATATTTGTCTGTGTGCACATGAAAAGGGACAGCCGTGGGCTCACTGGAGTCACCCGTTGTGAAGGGACCTTTGGTCCCCAGCAGTTAAAACCTTAGGAGTGTGTATGTAACTCCTCGAATGGTGTGTGTTTGTGATCATATGTATATGTATTCATTTGGGATACCTTATAGTGGGTTAGTGTGAATGTTGCTGGGTTTGAATCTGTAATCAAGTCTCTGTTCAATTATTTTAAGTCATCTTGTAAATCCTTAAATTGGTTAATGATTAAGTGCTGCTAAAATTCAAGCTCTTAATCTCAAATCATTAATAAATTTTGAATTGCTGTTAAATCATAACCGTGCCAAGTATTTCCATCCGCAACAATAACAAATTATGAGTGTTAAAGGATTCAGAGTAAATGCACAGCAAAAAAGAGTTCACAAACATCCATTTTTGTGTAGCCTTTGCAAAGCAGCTCTGTGAATCAGACTGTTCCTATCAAAGTGGAAGATTTTCATGAAATTGGCCTTCAGAGAGGTCAGGATTATTGAGCCTTTTTCAGAATTTCTGCTTGGGTTGTCATCTCTGGATGTGGTGCCTACTTTTGTGTGTGTCTGTGTGTTTTTAATTAGTGTCACAAAAAAACACTTGCCAAGAGCTGCTGTCAAGAGCTAGCCCTGTCACCACATCCTAATAATAAATAAATAAATTTAAAAGGCTGTGGAGGTTGGATGTAGCTTTCTTACTGGTTTTGCTTTACTTGATGGTGCTGCTTTTAGTTTTGTTGCTATCATAAACTGTATTTCTTTTCTCACTGTCTTGCAGGGGGATGCGCCTTTGCATTTTTAAGAATATAAGGAGAGAGAATGATTCTCCACTGACGAAGAGGTGGGAATTCTGGTGCAGGGCTGCTAGGTCATGTCTCCGTTTGAATGATGAGATCCACAGCCCAAAGTTCAGCACGCCTCTGCAGAGCATTAAAGGTAAAGCTTTTTTGGAGTCATTCCAATGGCATCTGAAAAATAAGAGGATAAGGCTTCCAAAAGCCTGGAAAGATTTTGTTATTAAAGGCTGTGGATTTGTATCTCCTTATCACTGGTTGGGTCTGGACCCTGTCCTTCTGATGGCCTACTTTATGCTTAATGGAAGAACCTAGAAAACTGCAGAATTGCCCCTACTGACCTGTGATAGGCACTGCTGTGTAAGAGCAATTAAGCCCTAGGGCAGCAACAGTGGCACATGGGGCAAAGCAGAGAGAGATTTTGATAATTTTGAGGGCAAAACCTGCTCTTGCTGTTGTCATCACTTCTCCAGGGAGATGAAATCACAAGTTCTGGACTGAAGATTGAAAGAAATAAGCAACTTCCCTCTGTTCCTTCCTGCTGCTTTTATTTCAGAATTGTTTGCATCCTGCTATAATACATGTTAATGTGTGAATATTTTATGTGCCATGTTTCGCATACAAATGTGCCTTTCTTCCAAGTAACTGAATGTGACCTAAGCATTGTGTTTGTTTACTTAATAAGACCCATTATTGGGAAGGAACTGAAGCAAACATGAGACAAAACAAACAACAGGTTTGTAATCTGAACTGCTGTGTGATCATGGCTTGCAGAAAAGTGATTTTATGCTAGAGATATTGAAGCTGTCCCACATGTGACTGACTTCCAAACCTTTTGGACTTGTCTTTCAATATATACCCTTCCAATTAGTCTTAACTCATCCATTAAGCCTTTATTCTTCATGGATGTGATACCTCCCAAGAGGTGGGGCAGTGTTTCTCTGCTGTCCTCCTGGCTTGGAATATCTGCTGCTCCTTCAGGTGCAAGAACCCATTTTCTGTGCCTTTTCAATGAAGCTGCCTACGAGTACAGCAATCAGGAGGCACAGATGCTCAGCCAGTTAATAATTTAGAATGACTTTTTAGTAGCAGTTATGAAAGATGTTAAAATATTGAGCGTGGCAGTGACTGGTGTCTCTTTCCTTGTGATGGGCGTAGCATAGGGTGCTGCCACGAACTCATAGAAGGCATGAATTATTCAAGGGACCCTCCTTACTGAACACTAGTTAAAGTTTCTGTCTAATAGCTGTTCTGATTTGGGGTGTCTGAATTGCACATTCAGGTTATATTGTTGGTTCATAACATTACTTTCATTGGCAGACTGAGCTGTAAGTTTTCTTGCTTTAGCATCTGTAGAGGAGCAGGTATGAGGGGTGTATCTATTTAGGAACAAAATACACCACAACTTTGCCTCATGGAACCAGGGAAAACAGATATACAAGGCCATTTGCTGTAATGATTTGCTCAGTGCGTTCTGAGGTCAATCTCTTCTAGGAGGTACTTTCTAGATGAGAAAGACAACTCTGCACCACCTAACATCAAGAGATATCTTTTCACTTTTCAGTTGCCTGCTTTAGGCTTGGTGTACGTTACAGAGCTGGGCACCATTGCTGGAATAGAAAATGGGTGAGATAAACCATATTTAAAATGTAATTTGGAAAATTATTTGGAAATAAATGTTACTCCAAAGGTATACATGAAACCCTGCCAGTAAGTGACATGTTAATAACAGCGTGGAGATGTTTGGAGCTGCCCAGATACTTCTCAGAAGTTTCTAGCAGTTCTCAGAACAGCTAGCCAAAAAGCCCACCCCACTCACTCTTTGTTTTGGCAACTAAATTTGACAGGTGGTAGATATTGTTCCTCCACTCTTGGTCCCTTGCCATTTGTGGCTTTTTTTTCCTGTGCCCTTATTTATGAAAATAATTTGTCCCCAAGTATTTCTGAGAAATACTTAAAACTGATCTTCAGACCTCAAACTAGTTTTGCCTTGTAATTATAACAATTTCCATTAAACACAGTTCTTAACCCCCTCCAGCATTGCCTGCCCTGAGAATTCAATGCCCCGTTTGCAATTCCATAATCGAGTCTTCTGGATAATCGGTGTAAGGTGTAAAAATCTCATCTTGGCCCCTTTCAGTTTGTTTAGAGTCAGAGCCCTGCAGCTACAGCTGGGTAGGAGGGGGGTGACCATGCAGTAAACAGTGCCAAACAATATGCTTGATAAATGGCTTGTACGTACTTGAAAAGTAAATGCACTGGCCGTTCCACCGGTGTCTCTCTGGAGAAAGAGCCCTTAGAAATTAAATTTTCAATTGATAGATTCAGATTTATTTGTTTCTTTTGTATTTTCCCAGATTCACTGCATATTCTGTAGTGCTCTTAATTATAGACTTAAATTCAGAATCTGTGTATTTAAAAGAAAAGAAAAAAAAGCCTTGGAAAAATGTTTTAAAAGACAAGAAAAGCTGGAATTGTTTTAACAAGCACGTGGGCATTATTTTAATAATGATGTGTTCCTTTACATTCACATATCCCAGCTCCAAATCTCTGAAGCAGACTGAATAACCGAAAGGATTTTATGCCTGGGCAGATGAATAGGACAGTTGTGTCGATGGCTGCGCAGCAAGGGAATAACTTCTCATTAGGCACTGGTTTTCAGAAAACGCTGTCTCATTCCCTGCCCGCTGCCGATGCGCACACGTGCCTGTGCAGCAGCTCCGGGGCAGGGGAGCAGGGGGAGAGGAGTGTCAGAGGGGGGATGCTGGGCTTGGAAGGGCTCCTTCCAGTCGTCTGTCCTTCGGAGGAGTGAAATGAATTCTCGTTGACTATATTTTTATTAGTTTGTTCAAAAGCTATCACTGGTATTCAATAGCAGAGATCAGTCATGAAAGACTGCTGAGTGCTGTGCTGGCAGCACTGCTGGCTGTACGTGTGCCTTAAAGATGGCTCGTCCATCAGCCTTCATGCTACTCCTTCCCTGGCAGAGGAAATTACTCATTAGCTATGCAAACGTACATGCAGGGATTCAAGTCCTAGACTGTTTGCCAAGAGGATGTCAGACAGAACTGCTTGTTTTTGTTAGGGCATGGAAATGAACAATCTAAGACAGTTCTCCTTTCGGCATTTTGAAGTTTTCATAAATGGAGAGAGGGAGGATTTCTGTTTATATAGCTCAAGGTTTGATCCTGTTAATGTTAATATTGTTCTCCACACAAAAACTTCCTGAAATAGAGGATCTTTACCAGCCACAAAAACAGTCTGTCTTTCTTTTCCTTACCTCTCTTTCAAACGTCATGCACCATTTAAGTACTTTAATAGAATATGACCAAATCTCACTCCTTTCATCCAGTGGGATGCCTTTGTCAGCTGATAGTCTCCAGCGTAAGTTGACCATTAAAGGATGAGGTTATGGATTTGTTGCAATTGAGAAAATTAAAGAGGGAAGAGACAAAAATTAAGTAAAATCCTGCTTTAGTCTGCTGCAGACACAGAGAAAAGTCAGACAGTAGAGGTCAGGGAATATTGATTTCTGCTTTGCATTGTTTTCTTTTCCTTTCTTCTGTGCTTTGGGAATAGGTAGACTTGAGTTAGGCTTGTCTTGCCCATATTCCAGAATTACTGGCAGGCATCACAAAGGTTTGCTGCCGGGTATTAGCCACCAACACCCGAGAGAGGTTTAGGTGTGTGGGGACTGCACGTTTCAAGACTTGCCAGGAACTATGGTGTTATGCAGCAAGAAACTCACTGAACAAGCCTTGTATAGCCAGAATTCACACTTTAAATCATTAACAGTTGAATGGTTTGTCATTGCACAAATCAAGACGAGGCTTTCTTTTGGTATTACGCAGATCAGCTAAATGTTTGTGAGACACAAATTTGTTTACAAAGTGATACAGATGAAGTGCAATAGTAAAAAAAAAAGGGGGGGGGTGGGGTGGGGTGTGCAATTTAATGTCTACCTTAACTGACTTCTCCCCAGTGCCCCAAAGTAGGTAACAGAGAAAAAGAGGTTGCGGCCAGGTGAACTGGGAACTTGGTTTCTTTGAATGGCCCATTGGAGGAGCTTCTCTTTAGCTGCTGACTGTTATCCAATATAAGGGAAATATTGTTTTCTTGGGCATGAAGTTGAGATCCTCACAAAGTCTGAAAGCCAAGGTTGCTTACATTAACTCCTGTTGTTAAGTTTGTCCAAGGTAGGATTGGCAACAAATCAGAACTGAATCCTCTGCTTAGAATAGAAATAGGATACCGCAGTTGCCATGGGGTGGCAAACGTTCAGGAGCAGTTATTGATGCTTACCCTATAGAGATAATCTACGATATTGTCCTGAGTCCAGGGCATTCCTAAAAGGGTTTCAAGGTAGAACAATGCCTGTGCAAACTGCCTGCTGCCTTGGGATTGATCCAGCAGCATTTAAATGCCTCTTGTGAGCTCTTTTGGAAGGTCATGGGGAGAGGAAAAGGCAGGAAAGGAGTATCCCACTCGAGTACCGACCAATTCAGTCTGGTGATGATTCATGTTTCACATCCCAGGATGGCTTGATATTTCATGTATTTGTTACCTTTTATAGCAATGCAAAATATGTAGAATTCAATTGTTACAAATCACAATGCAGAACAAGAGCTTAACAAAATCAAAATACACTTCTCACTCAGCCTTATCAGGCTAGACTTTCTCCTGAAAATACCAGCAAAACCCGCAACCCTGGGAAGTACCGTGCTCTGCTTTAATGCTCTTTGAAAGTCCAATGCAAAAGGAAATGGGCCTGGTAGCCATTCCCAAAGATGGCAAATTTACTTTTTACTGAATGTAGTAAAAACAAGAATCCTGCTCTGTGCCCAATGAAATCAATGAGAGTCTTGCAACTGACTCCAAGAGCAGCTAGCTTAAACCACTGGTTGTATGATACAATAAAACATGAATATCTTCAGTCCAAGAATACACCAGGGGCAGAAGCGAGCCCCAGCCGTGCATCCTGGATAGCGGTCAATTGGCCACCTAAAGGAAATTTTAAAAAATAGTAAGAAAAACCTTTTTTTCACTCCTTGCTGCAACTGTCTAGAACAATGAGAGCTCTTATAATAATTGCTATGTCGTGATGCCCTGAATCTTGCACTTTTTTTAATTAACAATTGATGCATTTATTAGTCTGTCAGAGATTTGGCTACTCTACATTCAAATGGAAATTTGTTCTTCATTTATAAGGGGACCCATTTGTAAGAAAAAGGTTAAGAAATCTGTACGTTATTTTCCAGATCAACAGTCTTTCAGCTGTTTCAGTATGGAGTAAAAAAATGACCCCCAAAATTAAAGAAATAAGCTTACTTCCACAGTAAGAACTATGTTTGTGCACCTGTCTGCTTGTATGTGCAGACATGTCATTTTTTCTTTGGACTTGTGTCTTTTCTCCGCAGTCATTCCCCATCTGACCCTTCCAGGCTGGCAACTAGTGGTGGCATTTCTTATGGACCACCACACTTCTTGATGCTATGGTGTGCTACCCTCACATGGTGCAGTTAAACCTCTGAAGTTCATATTCTGTTTGCCTGGCAAGGAAGAGCAGCCAAAGCTGGTCAGGATTTGTGCTCTATGACTTCCATGGTTTCAGATATGACACCATTAAACAATAATAAAAATAGATAATCACTTTCTTGCACCAGCAATTGCTTTCACAGGTGCTTGCACCGAATTTCAGTTTGTGCTAGAGGGACAATAGCTGATTCAGGCCACTCAGAATCTACTTCAGAAAACAATTATCTTGAGTTTAACTTTAAGCACTTTAGGATATCCAACTGCAATTAACAAGGATACTTTTTGGTATTTTTTCCTAGTGAAGCCGTGAGGCTGGGAGGACCCTCTCTGCAAACTGTAAGATTTCCCTGGTGTCAGTATCCAGCTGGATGATTCTCTGGTTCGACTGTGCTCTTGGTGAGACCTCTGACGTGAGACCTCTGTAGACAGAGCTTTGTCTCGCTCTGCAGCAGCGAAGCTCTGTCTACAGCAACTCAGAGAAACAAATAGGAAACAGGATTTCCCCCAACAGGCATCTGATTTTTCAGAAATGAACTATTGTAATGGAAGTGCAGCTGAGCAAAAACCGTAATTTATACTTAATTCCTTGAGGGGCCAACTTCAGACTTGACAAACGTGGCACCAAGCACCAAGCTCTAGCTGGTTCCCCTTTTCTCTCAGTGTTTACTAGAAATAATGTTCTTGTTGGGGTTTTGTGCAGGATGGGTTCTGGTAACTGCCAGACCAAGAAACCTGACCCTGTTTGTTTGCTACAGACGCTGCAGCTTTACATGCTCTCCAGCCCCTGGGAACCCAGGAGAGCCTGTGTTTGCCTCCTGCAGCAGCCTCGGGGAGATGCCCTTTCAGGAACTCAGCTCTTCAGATAAAAAGTCTCCCTCTTCACATGAGAGCATCCTTGAGTGAGAGCATTGCAGTTTATTTTAAAAGCTTTATCTGTCTGGAAATTTTCCAGACAGTCCCTTACCTACCGATGTCGTCGTCGTCCTCGTCCTCCTCCTCCTCCTCTCCCCCTCCCTTCTTAAATCTTCCCAAGCAGATCCATATCATTAATATTTCAGTATCAGCTGTTCACAGGCATTGGCTACACTGCAGCGCACTTCATCAATAAGAGCCGGCGAAGGCTGTGAGGTTTGTCTCACTCTGCCTTCATCCAGCAGAGAAGTAAGAGCAAAGGCAGAGACTGGCAGGGGAACCGCGTATCCACCGAGGGTAAGGCTGCACGGTGCAGTCCTGGTCTGCAGGTGCTTTTTGCTGCTGTCCCTCACTCAGATCGTCCAGGTAATACCCTAGGAAGCAACAAGAATGGATGTCTTTAAGAAAGGTTTCTCCATTGCCAAAGAAGGTGTGGTGGCTGCTGCAGAAAAGACCAAGCAGGGAGTGACGGAGGCTGCAGAGAAGACCAAAGAAGGGGTGATGTATGTAGGTAAGAGAGAACTGTTTTCAGTCTACGTTTGAGCATGAGCTGTCACGTAGTTTGTTTCTGAGAAAGTCTGGGGAGATGATATTGTGGCTAAAGCTTAGGAGTGAATGGTGGGAGGTCTGGATAACATCCTCAGCTCTGTCACAGAATGGCTGGTACGCCTGGGGTGCCTCATCCTCCCCGTGCCTCAGTTTCCCCCACTGCAAAATAGACATAGAAATAGCCACTACTCTGTGGGAGGCAGAACTAAAACAATGCAAAAGGGCTTAAGCCCAGGTTTTTTGGAAGGTTTTTGTTATTGCTGTTCACTTGCAGAGTGAGTCAGTACTTCCCCGAGCACTGCTGATCTCCACCTCACCTCCACGCTGTGAGACACACACTGAGGTCCCTGAGGGGAGCCAGCAGTGTTATTAAGTGGGGTTGGAGGATGCATCTGTTTCCCCACAAACATACTGTTTTAACCTGTAATCCTTCTCCTGTTCGCCAGCCTGATTCATTCCCCATGTACGCATTAATCTTGCTTTACAAGGGACACCCAAATTCATTTTGCCCACGGGATAGGATCTGGAAAACACTGTGCCTGCTCTCCTGCTAGAGACCTCTCTCAGCTAATGTGCTGTTTCAGAAACCTCCCCTTCAAGGTCACCCTTGAAATCCAGTATCTCCACTACCTAGCACATGTAATTATATGGCTGGATGGTCAGATATTCCAGATACTATAAAATCTATGAAGTTTCCCCAGACTGATTACTTTGGTCCTGATTACTGCACCTCACACAGCTTTTTATGTTTGCCAGATGTAGGAGTGAGGGGTTTTTTTTAGTAAGAAAGTTTACATGCAGATTCTTCCTGCTGTCATGCTGCAACATCCGCAGCTGTACGTAGCTACTATATTTAAAACAGTTATATAGCTCCTGATATATATATTTGTAAATTACAAATTAAATACAAACTTTATGTGCCACAGACCTGGTAATGTCTTCATCCTGAAATTGGCAGCTATTGGCGTGCTGTGAATGAACGTATGTAACAGTTCACATTTCAATTTGAAGCTGACTCACAAGAAAAAAGGTAAACAGCATCCCTGTAAATAATTAAACTAACTACAGTAATTGAAACACCAGCCTGTGAAACGTCACATCTAAGTGCCAAGTTGTGGCATCCCTACTGCTCCGGCTGTGTCCTGATTTGAGTGATGTTAGAAAGGATTATTCCAAATTTTTATACATAATTCCTCACATCCCCATTCAGTCATGTTGTACATCTCCGTACTGTGACCTGGCTTTCATTTCTGCACAGCCGTGAGGTACAGAGTCTGCTCATGAGACCCTAACCTTTTCAATGAAGTTTTCTAAAAGCCTTCTAAAAACCTAGATCTCTGAATGAGGATCAAATAAGGATCAAGGTGAAGATGAAGTGCTTTCTCCTTTTCCTTTTTCGTTTTGGTTTGTTGGGCTTTTTTGTATACTGCCAGTTCCTGCCCTGTCATGCACTGGATAGTGCGTTGCTTTGGGGGTGATGCAGTTCCTGTTGCACGCTGGGGGATGCTCAGCCCTTTGGGAAATATTCAGTCTTTCACCGGCAGGAAAAAAAAATTCTGGTTAACTCAGAAAAAATATTTTTAAATGGAAAAGGTAGAGGCCAGGTATATTGATTAAAACTGGAGGGATTAGTATATTGTCAATGCCACCTTTTCTCACTCTATGACACATGAAGGGTTAATCAGAGACCTGAACTGTTCCTTCCTCTGCAGAGCCCTATCCCGGCAGTTTGGGCTAGAGTGTTATGTGATGCAACCTGATTTTTTGGATGCTAGGAGAAAATAATACTTGTATAAAAGCTTGAGGGTCTTTTCAGAAAGTTGTGAAATTGGTGGTGTTAGTGGTACCCCAAAGCCTAGGAAGGATTAAGCAGATCCCTGACTTTGATTCAGGTTCGTGTTAACTCATCACTGACTCTCCAAGGATGATTCCAGACATCTGGGCACAACCACCGCCTCTGGTGAGTCACTCGCTGCCGCCCCAGGAGAAAAAAATGCTCAGGCAGAGGCATCCGCCTGGAGCGGACGGTGTCATCGGGCCTCTGCGGCCACCTCATCCCTTCTCTCTGAGACACGTGGGCTCAGTTCCCACAATCCGTGCCCGAGGTGCCTCCCCCCTGTGCTAGCACCGCAATGCGGGCCACAGCTGGGCTGCTTACAGATGCTGCCATCGCTGGGGGAGTCATGAGCCTGGGGTGCTCCTGCCCCACTGCATGGCTTGCTGAACACAGAGGGTAGAGAAGAGGGTGCACGAGAAGAGAGACGAATCCTGTAGCATAGGCCACCTTCAAACTGTAACAGCCTCTGGGTGTGCTGGAGCAGCTGAGGGTTCTTGATGGTTAACATATCCAGAAGTTGCAGGCTGCCTTTTTTATTTGGTTTAAATAGGGGGATAAGTGATGCTGAAGTTAATTAATGAAGTTAATGCAAAGCTGCATCAGAGTATTGAGTATAAAGTCATTAATACTGTTTAATACTATAGTTCAGGAAGCCTCAACAAAGAATGTCCTTCTAGTTTTCCAGAGCAGCTTTCAATCGTGCATGTCGAAGAAAGCCCCAACACACCAAGTGTCACTTAAACAAAGCGACTCCAGCACAAAATCCAGCAGGATTTATGGTGCATCATAATATCCTTTTCTGCCATAACTCTTCTCCCACCGCACAGCGCTCCACCACCTTGGGTGCACCCTTCTGATGCTGAAGCTATTACAGATGACTCACAGCACTCAGCAAAGGCAGGATGCATGAACTTTTAATTCTGTGTACACAAGCCGCAGGCAAGGACTAATGAGTGAAATGAGATTGAGCATCAGGTGATTGCTTTCTGATTCAAAAGATGCGGGTTGCTGGCAAGGGTACGCGGCGGAAGGTCAGGTTTCATGTGGTCTGGATGGATGCTGAGCCTGAGTCATGGGGTGTGGTGAGGAGACACGTTTCGGGAGAGGAGGCAGGCTCTCCCCAGCGGTGGCACTTCCCACTGCCATCACTTCTGTCCTGAAATGGGTTCGGGTAACTTTCTTCTGCCTGCATCCCTCCTTTATTTATTAATTCCATTATTTTCCAGCAGAAAATATGGCCCTCACCCACTCCCCTTCCCTTGCAAAAGATTTGAGCCCAGATAGCCATCTTAAATAAAAAGTCTGGTAAAAAAAAAAAAATACAGAAGTACAACTCTTGTTTCACTGTCTGTGTTTACTGCAAGACTGAAACGTATGCAAGGGTAGTACAGCAAATTATATACTTTGCTTACCTAATAACAGCTCTTTGCCCAAAAAACAGCCAAGAAGGGTTAAACTTGAACATCTGCGTGTGATATGAGAAGATCTTGTATGCCACATCAATATTGTGGCAGTCTTTTATTGGAATGGCAGTGGGAGGGGGAGTGAAGCAGGATGGGGGCTGAACCCAGTATGCGTTTGGCCCCATCAGGAGCTCTCATTCATCTGCTCACTGCTCTGCTTCTGTACACCTTTGTGTGTCATGGGCACCGTTATTAAATCCAGTTTACAGCAGTGCACATGTATGCTATGCATCATTAGGAATTGCAGTTTACAGCAGTAGCACGTATAAAGTATGAAGATTTAATCTCTTCAGTTTTAACACAGTTTGGGAGGGTGGAGTGAAACGTTGAGGGCATATTGTAATAGAACAGCTTTGTTCTGCCCCAGGCAACCAGTACAACCACCCAAATAAATCAACAATTGGGAATTACGTTTGATAATACATCACATGCATCAGGCAGAACAGAGCGGGGCTGGATCTGTTGTTATCAGGGCGCTGCACCTGTTTTGTTTTTCAGGCTGCTCATGAGAACGTGACGTGGTTTGTAGCTGACTTCTCCCACCACACCCATGGATGCTCCAGTACCTCTGGAGTTAAAGATCTGCCTGGCTTTCTATTGCTATCATTCTGACAGTTGGCCATAAAAATAATTTTGTTTTATCAGCATGGGAAACTTGAAAAGAGCCTGCATAGGTGCAGATGATTTATAAAATACAGTAAGGTGGGACCAGTGAAACCTTTTGGCACATGTTTATTTAACTTCCAACAGAGATAAATTTGATCCTTTATTTTTGGAATGTGAAAAAGCATCTAGTTTTGGGGGAGAGGGGAGGCTACCCATCTACCATGTAATTTATCATACGTGCTGCAGTATACAAATCAAAGAGATGTGTAACAGGTCACTTCAGCCTTGGAGGAAACCCACAGAGGCTAACTATTCCTTAAGGGCTACTTGTGTTTTGAACTGAATGCCCTTGCATCCTGTTAGCTTTTCTGCCTTCAGAACAGCAAGATAAATTACAATGTAAGCATACATACGGTGTACTTTCAAAATTTGAGATAAAAACATCTACATTCTGTATATTGCTGCACGCAGGCACTTACAGCCTAGGCTGGGGCACCAAAATGGGAATCTAGTAATTAGGTGTGTAGTAGGTGGGTGGTGCTTCTGCACATCCAGCCTCGAGTCTTTACTAGAGCTGTAGAATGAAGCTTTAAATGACCACTGCAACCAAGTATCCTGCTGAAAGGCAGGGGAGAGTAACAGATGTGACTCGTCTTGAAAGACTGAAGTAGGTGAGATTTTGCCAGGTGACATTTATTTTTATAATTAGGTTAACATTGATTTATCTTCACTTGACTGTTCTTTTCATTTTGGAAATATTCCAGGGGCAGTTTTTCATACTTCAGCATGGTATAATCAAAATTTTTCAGGTCTAGACATCTCCAGACAAATTAAGGTTGAAGTTCTCCAACTCCCAACAAAAAGGGACTCATTGACTATATTGGGGAAGGAAGCTGGTCCCTTCTGCCAGTGCTACAAATGGCTTGTGACTTAGCAGGAGGTGCTGGCACCATGGGTCCCCACCGCATCCAATAAGAATAGGAAGCTGCCCGTGTCTAGAAACCAGGGGGTTCTTTGCCAGATAGCACTGACGGACCGTGTGTTTCCTTTCACAGGTACCAAAACCAAGGAAGGTGTAGTGCAAAGCGTGACCTCAGGTAAGAGCACAGCCCTGAGAGGGATGTGGAAGTCTGTTCTGTGTTGCTGGATGTCTTGATAAGGCCATCATTCCTGCCAAATGGAAGGTCTCTGGGGACTACCGCTGATCTGCGTGACCTTCTATTTGATGAATGGAGAATGCTTGCCAGGAGTGATGGGTCAGGGTCTGGCATTTGCAGTCCGTGTGGATGGGAGCAAATATTGAACCAGTAGAACAGGTCAAAAAAATCTAACAAATGTTACTTGGCAGACTTGGATAATTCACAGCAATTTAGATATTTCATGATGCTAAGAGTGCTGCCCAGCATGCAGAGAGGATTTACTTGCATCAGGTCCTGTTGGGCCAAAACTGTGGGCTTTGGGAGACTCCTGTCAAGTAGTCACAGTGTTGGGGACCCTAAGGGATCCTTCTACATATCCCAAGCCACAAGACAGGGCAGCTGTCTGGACTGCCTTAAAAAGAGATTAATGGATCCTTTTTCTGGAGAATTTCATGACTGAATTACTTTTTTTTTTCCTACCTAGGTATATTAAATCAAACAGAAGGTGCCTGGGGAGAGGTTATTCACAGTCTGCAATGCCAAATACCTTATTTGTGCAACTGTCTCTTAGCAGCTCACAGAGAATTTTTCACTCTCCAGTTGCTCACAAAGACCGACAGGCTGCAGTGCTGCTCTCTGAGCAGCATTTTGAGTCAGACAAAACCCTCACGTACATGATCTAAAATCAGACATGATCTCATATAAAAAAATCCAAATAAGGACTGTACCAGGGCTGGTTTCTTCTCTTACTTTGGTACACTCATTTGCAACCCGTTCCAGTGAATTTGGCAGCCTTTTGGCAGTGTCTACCTCATTGACTTTCTGCTTTTGTTGAAATTCCAGTTGCTGAGAAGACCAAAGAGCAGGCCAATGTGGTGGGAGAAGCAGTAGTAGCCAGTGTGAACACAGTGGCAAACAAGACCGTAGAAGGAGCAGAGACCATCGTGGCCACTACAGGGGTTGTAAAAAAGGTATGTTCGTTTCTTTGGTGATGTGCAGGACAGAAGAGTCATAAATACTGCAAACATTTAGAGTTGATGGTTTTACCTATTTAATGAGAGGCTTTCAGCAATATCTGCTTTTATATAACGCTTAATATTGTTGTATAATATTTTATATCTAATTACAGAATTGTTTAGTTTGAAAGGGACCTCTTGAGATCATCTAGTCCAACCCCTTTAAGGTCAATGAAAGCAGGTTGTCCAGGACCATGTTCAGTTGGGTTTTGGACACCTCCACAGATGGAGACTCCACAACCTGTCTGGGAAACCTGTGCCAGCATTTGACCACCCTCACAGGAAAAAAAAAAATTAGTGTTTTCTTGTGTTCAGATGGCTACATTGATCAATTTTTGCCCATTGCCTCTTGTCCCATCAGCGGGCCCTGCTGGCAAGAGTCTGGCTCCCTGTGTTCTTATGGATGTAGAGAAGCGTTATGTGGAGGGACTTGAGCAGAAATGCAGCCAGGCTGCAGCGAGGGCAGGGTCAGAGCTCTGGGATGTGAAGGAGCCAAGCCCCAGCCCCAGCAGCTCTGCAGGCAGCCAAGGGCAGCAGCAATTCAGCCAAGCCTGGTCCCAGCAGAGAGCATGACCCTCCTTCTCTGCTTGGTGCCGATTTTGACAACAACCAAGCGGTTGTTGATAAGGGCCGCGTGACCCAAACCGTGCATGGATTAAGCCAGATTCAGACAAGGCGTCTTCTGTCCTCCAGACTAATTTGACAAACTGGGTTGTTTCAAGCCAGGGGATTAAGGGACATGCGAAGGAGCAGAACAACTCCCTAGATGGAGGCAAAGTTGATCATTAGAGAAGCTGATTTCAATGGGTGGTAACAAACAGCAACCATTTGTCCAGAACATGAGGGTGATAGTTGGCAGCTCTTTGGTAAGCCCGGATGCGTTGCCCCTCGTGAGGGAGCTGTGGTCAAGAGCGTCGATAGCGACATGAGCTAGATGAGTCACGACAAACCCAAACCCAGAATCAAAGCGAAGCAAGGCTGGCCAAAATTGTTTCAATTGTTCAGACAGTCGGCTGATGAATTTCCTGACCTGCACATAAACACATTGTGATGTGAAACAAAACTTCTACACGCCATATAAATCCTGAGAGAATAGCCTAACAAAAGAGGAGAACAGCAGCTATGAGTGACGCAAAATGTCCTCCTGAAAGCATGTGAAAAGGCCAGATACAGAAGTTCTGCTAAGCCCTTGGGATAAGAGTAATCTCTATTCCCACAGGGAACAGCAGTTAGGCTGCAGGAGTGCAACCCATGATTCCTAATTCCGTGGGCTAGACTACCCCCTTGACCTTCTGACTGACCAGGCATGGGGTGGTTGACCCAGGAGAGCCAGGAGTTTGCTGATAGTAAGAATCAGTCCTGCAGATACCAAAGTGTCTCCCCTTCTGGCAAGGACCAAGCAGCAGCAATCCTCTTCCACTTTAGTCCTAAATGACAGCTCCCTCCTCAAAAACTGGTGAGCTACAACTTACAGGTTTTAGTTTCACAACTCAAACCAGTCAACATGGTCTGTTTCCACCCTTGAACAGGTAGTACCTTAGAAAACCAGTGATTCCTTCACCCTAATAATGGTTTGAGGTTATGCAGATTGCAGGCAATACACAAAAGCTGTGAGTTTTCCAGAGGGTTAAAGCATTAAGCATCTGAGCTGTCATTCTGGCATCTTCTGGCAACGTCCACCTGCTTAGGGGTAAAGTGGAGATTGATCAAGAAGAAAAAAAAAGTGGGATGTGTCCCATGTGGAAGGGCAGACTGAATGAGGGAGCCAGGAAACTGCTTTGGGTACAGTATCATGGTGTCACGCTAAATAGCAGAGGTGGGCAGCAGAATGAAAATGGGAGGAGAAAAGCAAGGCAAAAGAAGTCACAGGAGAAAGAAATTCAGGAAAAATGTTTGTTTCTGTGAAAGAGAGGGGTTATCTACTCTAGCATTTTACTTCAGCTTAAATCATTCTTAATTCTTAATACTTCAGCTTAACCATTCTATGATTCTGTGAAATTAGGAGTGCAAATCTTCTAGTCATCCTCACTCACCATACTTCAGTTGTATCCACTACATACCTTTGGGATAGCAATGACATGGAAGATGGAGCTCTTAAGTGCATCCCAGCTGCTAATGGGTTAATAACCATGGGGCCAGAGCTGCTCTTACATATCCCAAGCCACAAGACAGGGCAGCTGTCTGGACTGCCTTAAAAAGAGATTAATGGATCCTTTTTCTGGAGAATTTCATGACTGAATTACTTTTTTTTTTCCTACCTAGGTATATTAAATCAAACAGAAGGTGCCTGGGGAGAGGTTATTCACAGTCTGCAATGCCAAATACCTTATTTGTGCAACTGTCTCTTAGCAGCTCACAGAGAATTTTTCACTCTCCAGTTGCTCACAAAGACCGACAGGCTGCAGTGCTGCTCTCTGAGCAGCATTTTGAGTCAGACAAAACCCTCACGTACATGATCTAAAATCAGACATGATCTCATATAAAAAAATCCAAATAAGGACTGTACCAGGGCTGGTTTCTTCTCTTACCTTGGTACACTCATTTGCAACCCGTTCCAGTGAATTTGGCAGCCTTTTGGCAGTGTCTACCTCATTGACTTTCTGCTTTTGTTGAAATTCCAGTTGCTGAGAAGACCAAAGAGCAGGCCAATGTGGTGGGAGAAGCAGTAGTAGCCAGCGTGAACACAGTGGCAAACAAGACCGTAGAAGGAGCAGAGACCATCGTGGCCACTACAGGGGTTGTAAAAAAGGTATGTTCGTTTCTTTGGTGATGTGCAGGACAGAAGAGTCATAAATACTGCAAACATTTAGAGTTGATGGTTTTTCCTATTTAATGAGAGGCTTTCGGCAATATCTGCTTTTTATATAACATTTAATATTCTTGTATAATCTTTTATATATAATTACAGAATTGTTTAGTTTGAAATCATCTAGTTTAGTAAATACTGCAAACATTTAGAGTTGATGGTTTTACCTATTTAATGAGAGGCTTTCAGCAATATCTGCTTTTATATAACGCTTAATATTGTTGTATAATATTTTATATCTAATTACAGAATTGTTTAGTTTGAAAGGGACCTCTTGAGATCATCTAGTCCACCCCCTTTAAGGTCAATGAAAGCAGGTTGTCCAGGACCATGTTCAGTTGGGTTTTGGACACCTCCACGGATGGAGACTCCACACCCTGTCTGGGAAACCTGTGCCAGCATTTGACCACCCTCACAGGAAAAAAAAATTAGTGTTTTCTTGTGTTCAGATGGCTACATTGATCAATTTTTGCCCATTGCCTCTTGTCCCATCAGCGGGCCCTGCTGGCAAGAGTCTGGCTCCCTGTGTTCTTATGGATGTAGAGAAGCGTTATGTGGAGGGACTTGAGCAGAAATGCAGCCAGGCTGCAGCGAGGGCAGGGTCAGAGCTCTGGGATGTGAAGGAGCCAAGCCCCAGCCCCAGCAGCTCTGCAGGCAGCCAAGGGCAGCAGCAATTCAGCCAAGCCTGGTCCCAGCAGAGAGCATGACCCTCCTTCTCTGCTTGGTGCCGATTTTGACAACAACCAAGCGGTTGTTGATAAGGGCCGCGTGACCCAAACCGTGCATGGATTAAGCCAGATTCAGACAAGGCGTCTTCTGTCCTCCAGACTAATTTGACAAACTGGGTTGTTTCAAGCCAGGGGATTGAGGGACATGCAAAGGAGCAGAACAACTCCCTAGATGGAGGCAAAGTTGATCATTAGAGAAGCTGCTTTCAATGGGTGGTAACAAACAGCAACCATTTGTCCAGAACATGAGGGTGATAGTTGGCAGCTCTTTGGTAAGCCCGGATGCGTTGCCCCTCATGAGGGAGCTGTGGTCAAAAGCGTCGATAGCGACATGAGCTAGATGAGTCACGACAAACCCAAACCCAGAATCAAAGCGAAGCAAGGCTGGCCAAAATTGTTTCAATTGTTCAGACAGTCGGCTGATGAATTTCCTGACCTGCACATAAACACATTGTGATGTGAAACAAAACTTCTACACGCCATATAAATCCTGAGAGAATAGCCTAACAAAAGAGGAGAACAGCAGCTATGAGTGACGCAAAATGTCCTCCTGAAAGCATGTGAAAAGGCCAGATACAGAAGTTCTGCTAAGCCCTTGGGATAAGAGTAATCTCTATTCCCACAGGGAACAGCAGTTAGGCTGCAGAAGTGCAACCCATGATTCCTAATTCCGTGGGCTAGACTACCCCCTTGACCTTCTGACTGACCAGGCATGGGGTGGTTGACCCAGGAGAGCCAGGAGTTTGCTGATAGTAAGAATCAGTCCTGCAGATACCAAAGTGTCTCCCCTTCTGGCAAGGACCAAGCAGCAGCAATCCTCTTCCACTTTAGTCCTAAATGACAGCTCCCTCCTCAAAAACTGGTGAGCTACAACTTACAGGTTTTAGTTTCACAACTCAAACCAGTCAACATGGTCTGTTTCCACCCTTGAACAGGTAGTACCTTAGAAAACCAGTGATTCCTTCACCCTAATAATGGTTTGAGGTTATGCAGATTGCAGGCAATACACAAAAGCTGTGAGTTTTCCAGAGGGTTAAAGCATTAAGCATCTGAGCTGTCATTCTGGCATCTTCTGGCAACGTCCACCTGCTTAGGGGTAAAGTGGAGATTGATCAAGAAGAAAAAAAAAGTGGGATGTGTCCCATGTGGAAGGGCAGACTGAATGAGGGAGCCAGGAAACTGCTTTGGGTACAGTATCATGGTGTCACGCTAAATAGCAGAGGTGGGCAGCAGAATGAAAATGGGAGGAGAAAAGCAAGGCAAAAGAAGTCACAGGAGAAAGAAATTCAGGAAAAATGTTTGTTTCTGTGAAAGAGAGGGGTTATCTACTCTAGCATTTTACTTCAGCTTAAATCATTCTTAATTCTTAATACTTCAGCTTAACCATTCTATGATTCTGTGAAATTAGGAGTGCAAATCTTCTAGTCATCCTCACTCACCATACTTCAGTTGTATCCACTACATACCTTTGGGATAGCAATGACATGGAAGATGGAGCTCTTGAGTGCATCCCAGCTGCTAATGGGTTAATAACCATGGGGCCAGAGCCCCGGAGTGAGGGCCCTGGAAGGAGCCAGGGGCTTGTGCTGGGCTCTTGGCACCAGCTGTTCTCTCTCCAGATCTGCTCCTATTGTGCTGCACAATTTGCTAATGGAAATAGAGCCAGAGGCTGCCAAGGGCAGTGCTGGGCACTGTAATGTGTTGGAGAGACCCACTGGAGATACACTGAGTGATAAGGTATAGCGGTTAGATGTTTAAAAAATAAATATCTGCTGTTAAAATCTTGCAATCCTGAAATTATACACACAAGCATTCCATCCCCTGAAGTTTGAGAGTGTTGTTGTATCCAGTCCTGAGGCTTGCTCTTGCTCCATCCCATCCTCCTCCTTTTAAATTGCAAAGAGCAGTTGCTAATACCTTATTTCTATTTTCAACAACAATTGTTCCCTGCTGACTTTATAGAGGGGTTGCTCAAAGCACCGGGGGATCTGTGTGAGTACATGGTGAGCACTGAGCGGTGCTGCAGGATGACTTGAATCTGGGGAGTCGAGTGGCCTAGGAGGCATGTCCCCAGCTCAGCATTCCCAGTATTAATATCAATTATGGAGAGCTTGTTGACATTTAATCTGTGCATTTGACAGCTGGGATCAGTGACAGGCTCATACTAGCAAGGAGTGGGGAACTCTAAGGATTCTGGATTAAGCTGTGCTCCGGGGCAGCAGCCGCGGGGTGGTTGAGCTCTGCGGGTGTATCAGGTGGCAACTTTGGCCATAGGGAAGAATCCAGCCCTTCGTGGAACATGGCAGGCACTGAAATGTGGACACACGTGGGGCAGTTGGCAGCCTGCTGCTTCTTGATGTTCTTGGTGGGAGCAGTCGGAGCCAGGCAGAAGGAAATGGGGCTGAGGTAACTGTGCCTACAAGGAGGTGCCAAGTGCCAGACCTCAAGTAGCATTGGCATTGCCTAGCAGGGCTTTGGCACTACTCTGCTTACTGAGTACAAGAAAGTATTGACTCTTTTGGAGGAGATTTAAGTATTAGGTAAAAAATACGTAAATTGAAAGACTATAAACCCTTCACAGTTTTTTGGTCCTCAAACCAGGACACTGATATGCAAAGGAGCGAGACCCATCTGTAAGGTGTCTGGTCTGCGGCTCTGCTCCCATCCCAGTCCCTGGGGTGGGCGTTAAGGGATTTCAGTGAGATAACCACCTACTAAATATCCCTGTCTTGGAGAGGATTAATTCTTTGTCTGCATGACACAGCACAAAGTTTGCTGCATTGCAGACACCACGTGGCCGGGAGCAAGTGCGTGTAGGTACACACACTCACAAAATGTCCCTCGGGGGCTGGAGGAATTTCCCCAGTAGCTAATGCTTCCATACGTCCTCCACCTAGATCTTCCCTTTAGATCTCTTTGCCCTGTCAGTTTGTATATGGTTTAATTGTCAGTTTGCGGCTCTGTCGTTTTGAATTGGGTTTGATCTTTTTGTTATTTCACTCCATTAATTATTTGAGCAGTTGTGGGTTACGTGCCACCTCTGGGCACGTTGGTTGGATCACGTCGTTTCTCTGCGTTGGTTGGATCACGTCGTTTCTCTCTGCGCTTGATCTAGCGCACGTGTCCCGTGCCCCGACCCAGCTCACCGCTTTCGTAACCACTGCACATTTTGCATAAGAAATGTTGACGTTCAGGGCCTTAATTCTGTTCAGTTAAACTCTGTGATGCCACTGACACTAAGACAGTTGCACCAGAGGAATTAGAAGCAGCAACTGACGAGTGACCTCCCTGTGGAAGTCAGTTTGGGCAGGGCAAGTGCTACTGGGAGAGGGTGTCCTGGTTTGAGGACAACCAAGGGCATCTGAGAGGCCACCGAGGGCAGAGCTGCTAAGCAGAAGGACCAGGGAAATTAACAGCTGAACTACCTTACAATTAAGTAGAATAAATAGTTAAAACTCTTCCCCTTTGTATTTAAGCTTTATCCTTCATATTTAAGCTTCACTGTACTTCACTGATGCCGTGATGAACCCTGATGGTATCCTTCGGCATCACATGGAGCAGGGGAGACTGCAGGAGCAGCGTGGGGTGGGGTACTCTGCCTACAGACACTTCTCTGCTTCCCTCTCACTCTCGTTAGTGCATCCAGGCATACATTTTTCACATGCAGAACAGCTGAGTTAGCATCACCGGTGAAGCCTTAAAGTCTACAAGGACCGTGTGTGGGCTTCATGGCTAAAGGCTGTGCCCCAGTAATCCTGTAGGACAATAATGTAAACATTATTAAATATGTATTATTTGTATTAGCAGCCCCTGGAAACCCTAGGCTGTGAGCTGCATGAAAACAAAGCTACATTGGGTTTGTAGGGTAAGAGAGGAACCCTGTGCTCCTGTCTCTCTGTCCTCTCGGTGGGTCCACTCGCTTTAATCACGGGTTGACCTCTTAGTCAGAGCTGTCAGCATCACTCCGAGCACATTCAGCCCGAAACCCATCCCAGGACAGCCCGTCCATAGGACCTGTCAGGTCGCCTGAGGGTTTGCAAGGGAGTGGTTTGGGGATGCTGCCAAGGAGCATTGCTTTTGCTCCAACGCCCAAGGTCACAAGCGCTACAGGAGGCTGAACCTCTCCCCGCCTTATGCAATTGATGTCCCATTGCGGGCTGTTCAATTTGCAGCACATTAGGTTGCCAGTGAACCTCTCTGGTTTTACAGCCTTAAACTAATAATAATAATGAGAAAAGAAATCTTGCTTGCTACCGAATTTGTTGAGTTTTTGATGAGTAATGCTCCAGCATAAAACATTTAGATTCTGCGTCTTTTCTCCGTCAGATAAGGAAGATAATCCTGATAAGCTTTTTTTATCACAGAATTTTGGGGGATGGTGAAAAAAACTCACTGGCCTGTAACATAATATGGATAAAAGTATAAATTCCCTTTATGTATAGACTCAGCCAGCAGAACATAGAACACAGTTATTGAGCTGAAAAAGGGAATTCCATAGAACCAATGAAATAGAGAAATCTGAAGAATCAAATTGTAATTAATTTTTTTTTAAATCTGTGGGCTTTTAAAATCTGTTTTTAAAGAAACATATTAAAATATCTGAACCCAGGAGCCTGCAGTATGCTCTATTTAAGACCTCTTAATATTGTGCAGGAATATTTTTATAAATGGCAGGTCCTAATTTGTTGAGTTTTTCACTAGTGATACTTGAACATGTAACTATGTTCCATAGCCTTAGTGAAACATTGTATTTTATATATAAAAATCTTCTATAGTGTATATATTCTATATACAAATGTATTTTTATATATAAAAAATACTTTAAAATTTTTATAACACTCCTGTAATTAATTCTAAGGTCTTGTGTTTCACTTTATTATTATGTTAAACTACTCACTTTTCTCTAATCTCTAGCCAATAAGATTCAACACCCCCCTAAAAAAAGTAGAATAAAAGAGCCTATAACAAACTAAATCAGTTTTTTATCATTTTAAATGCTTTTTCTAAGACATACATAATTTCTGAGGGGGAAAAAAAAACCTGCTTGCCATTTAAGAGCAGGAGGAGCGTTACTAATTACTTCATGGTTGTAACTTGCCTTTCCCTTAGAACATTTTATCCCTTTTAATGAGGAGATGAACACTGAAAGGAATGGCAAAGTTCTCGCTGTCCTCCAGGGAAGCTGGACTGTCACCCTTGCTTTCTTGCCCAACATCACGCTGTGAGTCACTGTTACAGCGGGGGTTGGTACCCAGGAATTTCTGGCTTTCCATCCGAAGGGAAGACCCGTACATCACATATTCCTCCTCTGTCTATTATTTTCCTGACTACTCACCAAGCTCCCCGGCCAGCTAACGCCCCGCTGAAGAATGCAGCCCTTCCTCATCTCATGCTCGCTATTCTGGGCAGGGTGGGAAGCGCGTGAGAAAAAGGCTGTGAGGCGACGTCCCCAACACGGCCTGACACCTCTTCATCCTGCCATTGTGCTGGTTCCTCCACCACAGTTTAGAAACACTCTCCAGAAACACGGTTGGCTTCCCTTTCTAAAAATAGAGGGATGAGTCACTTTTATCCTTCTGGAGCAGAGTCTTGGCAGAGAGCATGATTTAAGGGATATAATAAGCAGCACAATAGCTGAACAGGGATTCTTCAGCCCACCCAGCACTCTCAGATGCAGTGTCCTCAGGATGGTCCTGAGGAAGGAATCCACTTTTCCATGACTGTTTGCACATCTACCAGAACTCCCACAGGGAAGAGTAGGTGGTCGTGCCCTGTAGAGAGATGGGGTGTGCTGCACTTGTCCTTGTGTCCCTATGGGCTGTCCCCCAGTTTTCCCAACGTGGCTCAGCGCTTTCAGCAGTCGCCTTTGATTCACCTTCACAATTTCACAGGCAGATGGTAACCTCATCTGCAAAATCCTACAGAGCGCCTGCTGTTGCAGCTATGGTCATTGGCTTGCACTGCAGATTTATTTTCTTTCCACCCAATAGTCCAAAAACCTGCTTGTAAACCTTCAAAATACAATTTGAGGCTCTTTACCTCCTTTGACCTAACGTGTAGTGTTGAGTTATAAGGTATAGTCCCTTTTTATGGCTCTGTACTCATGCGAAATGTTTTAAAGCCTGGATCCTGAGGCTGAATCAGGCTCCAGAAATTCAGAGTAGCGAGCTCTGTTGCTGACAGCAGGAGAGTTCACTCATTTTGGAAAGGCTGTGGCTGAGTGGCTCCATCAGAGCGGTACCGTGTCCCCAGCAGCACCGAGTCCCGGCCACACTGGGAGCTGGAGACCAGAAACTTGCCTCCGTGATGTGCACAACTGGATATCATTAGGTCACCTGGGCTTTCTTAGCACAGGTCAGGCTGACGGTAGCAAGGCATTTCAGCCAACAACATGATGCAAATTAAGGGCACCTTTCTTAGAAAAATAATAAATCACACTGTGCTTTTCATATGGAGACAGTCCCAGTGCGTGGCTCTCACTGTAAACAAGCTAATTGGCTCTCGGCAGAGAGGTGAAGGGAACGCCTGGAGCTGCGACAGACATCAGTACTGGGCTGGGGATCCTATTTTGGCCATTTTCTTTCTTTGGTGGGTTAATCTCTTAAGATATGGAGAGCAGAAACCCTATGGCAGGACAGTCAGGTTGCAATTCTTCCATCTCCCAGCTCTCCTTCCTGCCAAAAATGGGTCTGAAGTCCGATTTCCAGCTTAAATTTTCTTGAGATCTACCTTATATCTCTGTGAAATACGTCTATTTTTTCCTTTTTATTTCACGTCACCTCTTCTTCCCTGATTCAGTCCCAAGAGCAGCAGGAGTGTTCTCCTACTGTTTTTACTGTTGACTGGACAGGACAATGAAGAGTGGAGCCCCCCAAAACACACTGGAGCATAAAGTTCTGTTTCCAGTAGGTTTGACGGGGACATTTGATTTGTGCCGCATCAACAGCGGCACCAGGGAAAGCAGTGGCCTCCTGTTTCCAAAATATTGAAATTCAAATGATATATCTCCCTTGCATGCAAAATTGACTTTCCCTTTATGTAATATGTTTGTCCCAGGTTCCTTCTATGGTGTCCCTGACTTTATGTGGGAAAAGAGAGTAAAACTTCAGGGATACTGCTGGGTATGTGTGCTCAAAGGGAATAGAGAAGCTTTGTAATTTTAGCAGAGTTCCCTGCTGATTTGGGGCTGGACTGTAGAGGTCCTGCTATTCCTGCTTCCCCCTGCTCTTGCTGGCTGGTTCCACAAAGGTGCATTTCTGCTCTCTGTCCGTTCCCTGGGCATTGTCTTCTCTTCCCACATGGCAAAATCATGTTTAGAGTAATTGCCTGGTAATAAAATCTTTTCCCTTCTTCTTTGAATAGGAAGGTAGCTGAAAGATCTGAGGAAGTAGCTAGAAGAGCCCAAAGTGCTTCTGAAAATGTTCGGGCTTCGAACACAAAGGAAAGCTTTTCCTTTGATTAATGAAACTTTATCTGAGGCGTGACATCAATGCCTGCCACTACAGTATTGCTATATCTAAAATTAGAGTAGTCTATGCAGTGAGTGCTTAGAGTAAGGCAGGGTAGGGAAAGGCTAGGCATAAGCTGTTTTACTCCAGGTAAATGTATTTGTTGTTCCCAAATTTCTCCACATTGAAGGAGTCAAAACTGTTTGGTTTTTGTGACAAGAAAGAAAACTTCAGAAAATGAACTGGTTTTCTGTGTGAAAAAGATCCTAAATGAGGCTGTAAGAAATTGAATTGCTTGTTCACAGACATCTGCTCTAGCACACTGCACGAAAAATGGATTTCGAGCAATATTTGCCATCTATTAAACCCTGTATTTTATTCGTGTGTGTAATGCTCAGACACGTTTCGTATAGTCTGCTCGAACAGCCTGTCTGAGATTAGGGGGATGACTCTGCGTGTGCTGGCAAGGACAAACGTCTCACTTGTGACTTGGCAGGAGGACCTGGCAGCGCCGCAGCCGCCCGAGCAGCCGGCGGGAGAGGGGGCCCCGGTGGCCGTGGGCGAGGTGAGTGACGTCCCGGCGGCCCCAGGGCTCGCGAGATCACACCCGGGTTACTGATTGTCCTCCAGACCACCTCCCCTTTGCTTTCTGTGGTCATACATCTGCTGCAGGCGAAGCCCATCAGCGTTCCCCTTTCCAGGAGTTATTTGATAAAACCTGAGCCCACGTGACCTCACTTTTGCCACTTCCTTTTTTGGGACCGGGAATTTGCTGGGAGTGACAGGTCGCACAGACTGAACCGCTGCTTGGTTTGGGCGTGTAAACACACACATAATAGTTAATGTCATCCGGTGGGTTTATCATCACGCGGAATAGCTTTTCTCTGGCTGCAGCCATGCTTTAGAAGAGCTTTAGCTACCAAGGCAGATTTTTCTATAGATTTTTAGATAGCAAGCTAGATTTGTCTCTAGATTTTCCTATATTTTTATTACTACTTTTCATGCAATGCCTTTTTGAAGCCCTGGATCAAATGTCCATCTCTGGGAGGACGACCTCTTACTGCCCAGCATGGAATTCCCGTTCGGGTTTTGGAGGGGAGGGCTCTGGCTGCCCACCCCACGAGCCCCACGGCACCCCACACACCCACCCTCCCCAGTTTTCAGCCTCTCTGGAAGCTCTGACTTGTTTCCACCCTGCCTGAAGCTCCGCAGCTGGCACCTACCGCCCTCCACCAGCCATCACCTACCACCCCCCCACCTCGGGTGCCAGTGCTACCACTTGGGCGTCCCAAAAATGAACCCTGCTAATCCGGGTGACTTCATGGCTGCATGAGTGCTCATGTCAGCCCGAGTGCCGGGGCGGGGGGCAGAGCTGGCAGCAGAAAGCAGGACATTCCAGCCGGTGGCAGCCCGGCCCCGTGCGAGCTCAACTTCCATCACGTGCAAAATCACACCCACGTTCTCCCCACGGGTCTGAGTTTGAGAGGAGTGTGTCTGGTTCCCGGGAGGAAGGGATAATTCATTTATTTTCTGCACCACATACAGCCATCAGGATTTTATGTGGCGACTCCCAGCACAGATTTTTCTCCTAATTTTATTTATATATTTTTTCCACTGGAAATATTTAGCTGTTTTCCTGTCTTCTCGTCTCTCACAGGGTGAAAATGAAGGCAATTAATCAACTTAGGGACTTCGAGCTCAAAAGAGAACATTCCAATAGCATACATGGAAATATTAGCTGGCACTGCAACAGGAAAATCCCGCTCTCCATAGACTAACTACGATCAGCTCTGTAGCCTTTCACTGCCCTCATAAACCAACCGTGCAATATATGTAAGCCAGGCTCCTCCGACTGTAAGTGAAGTGCAGCCGTGTACCAGGGTGTGTGTCTCCCTCCCCACCTCCCTCCTGCCTTCCCCACCCGCTCGCTTCACCTCTTTTGGTCAGACACGCTGCTCCGTGTCCCGCATCCGTCCGCACGGGCACTTGGGATCTCTAGGTATTGTGGATTTTTTTTTAATTATTTTTCTTTTTAAACTAATAAAAAGGTGTTTGAACAAGTTTTATGGTTCTGTCAGTTTTATTTGCGCATTTTAGACATTGATCCTTGCAAACTGATGAACTCATCCTGTAAAAGCGTGGTGTTAAAATTCAAGGATCTCAGGACTTTGAGGGCCTTAGATCATGACGTAAAAGATGGGGAATAATGAAAAAAATTGTATTTCTGAAATCAATAGGGAGGTAGGCCAGTATTCTGCCTCTCAGGGCTGAAAAATAGAGATTTCACTTTTTAAATACTCCCTCGCATTTAAGAGACAGTGCATGGGGGGAACTGGAAACTAGAGGGCTTTGTAAAGGAGCAAGAAAGTCGTGCTGAGCTCAGTTACCGTTTGTTCTTTGCTGTTTATTCTGCTTACAGCAGAGCTTGGAAACTCTATCCTGACGTCTTCTGGGTGTAATGAACAGCTAGGAGGTAATTAAAGACACATGATGGGCACTGACCTGTTAGATCAGAACTGCCTTCCTGCTGGCAGGGGCAGGCAGGATTCCTGCAAGATGCATGAGTCTGATAGCGGGTGCCAAGGGAGAATTGCTGGTGCCAGGAGAACACCGGGACTGGTACCAGTTGCAGCAGCCAGTCAGTCTGCAGGTAAGGTGCTGAGTGAGAGCAGAGGAGACATTCCACCTTCACAAACGTAGAGAACGGGAAAATGTTGCTACAAGCTCATTGCTATAAATAATGAAGAATGAGTTCAAAGCACGTCAGTAAGCACGGATCTAAAAATGGGGTCTTTTTTATTCACCTACAGTCATAGCATCCACCAATCCATGAGAAGCCAGTATAAACTGATTTAGGCTGCTTCAAAATCAGACTGCAACTTCTCATTAAGCTGCATAATGATGGTGACCATGGAAAGTATTACAGGAGAGGCCTGCTGTAGTATGGAAGGGTCTGGCAAGCGTGATGTCAGCCTCTCTCAGACACTGACAATGTACACGAAGCTGTGCTTGCAGAGACCATGGGATTTCCATCCGACTGGATGCTTGATCTTGGCAAGGAACAGGAACAAAAAAGCCCTAGCAGAGATAACAAGGCCCCTCAAAGGAAGTCATATCCAATATATGCATGCTCTTTTCTGATGTCCTGCAAAACATCTGCGGAACTTGCCAATTAAGCAGAGTAACTAAAATTGAGGCCAAGGTAAGGGGACGGAAAGGGCTGTGATGCTCGTGCCCGGCAGCAGGAGGCTGGAGCCTACTCTTAGTGCTCACTGGAGAGAGACGGATAAAAACCTCTCTGGTCCAGAGCTTTGCTTTATGGGGATACAAACAAGATGTTCTGCCAGCCAGAGGGAAAGAGGCACCGAGCACCCTCGCTAGCGGTGGCACGTGGGGGAGGCAGGGGTGGGCATCGGCCGGGCCAGGCTGTGACTCAAAGCAGGAGTGAACTTCTCCCTGGATGCCCATCTCTCAAGAGGGCTTCACCCCTTGTTCAAAAGGACTTAAGCTGGGAGAGAATTACAATTGCTGAGCTAAGAGCGCAGGGACGCTGCTCCATGGTAGAGCTGCTTGGGAGGGTGGCTTTGCAGTGCTCCACAGCGATCTGCTGTGCTACCACACCTTCTTCCCTGTGGGAAGGAAGGGATTTAACTGGTATTTACCCACCTAAAAACACTGCTCAACTGTTGCCTAACATATGGGCACTGACAGTGTCTGAATGTTTCATAAAGGTCTGCCTCTGGGCTTGCTGGCTTCTTGAGTCACCAAGCACCATGTTGTGCCTGGGATGGACGAGGGCTGGGCACCTCCCTGCCATAGCCCCTGCCCAGGTGTGGTGTAGTCCTGCCGCTGTCAGAGCTCAGAAGTGTGTTCATGCATCTGGCACGAGGCAATCACAAGCCTCAAAGCCAGCCATCAGGCCACGTGGTTTCCTCCCACGTGAGCATCCCGCATCAGGGAGCAGGAGCAGGGCAGCGCTGTGGCCGTGCAGTGGCTCGGTGAGACTCGGCTTCCTCTGTGTTCCGTGGTGGGTTTGGCAGTGTTAGTTTAATGGTTGGACTCAACGATCTTAAAGGTCCCTTCCAACCTAGATGATTCTATGATACCTCCCCTCGCTGCCCAAGACTGGACGCTACCCAGCCAGGGAGAGCAGAGGTGCCAGGCTGAGCCACCTTTAGCAGAGGTAAGGAAGGTGAACACTCATTTCTCCTGAAGTCAAAGGGTTTGTCATAAAAGAGACAGAAAATTACATATTAATTACTCAATTAAACTTTGTTGTATATTTGTTTGTTTCACTGCATGGAAAAGAAGTCTGTACTTTTAATGAGCATTCAGACAAGCATAACAAGAGGTGATGGAAGAAAACTGGAAAAAGAAGGGATGGAGGAGATGCATCAGCAAACACCCCTCAGGAGAAGGGATGCTTCTTGGCGAAGGATGCTTTCTTAAGGGAGATGCCAGGAATCCCCCTGCCCCAAGTAAAAGATGAAGGCAAGCATTAGCAATATCATTTTTTGCTGACAGGTCATGGTCCAGGCAATCAAGAATTTCTTTTACACATCTCACCCTGTGATTTACTTAAGTGGACCTTGTATGTGTGATACCTTTCTGACAGAAGCTGTTAATTTAATCCCACTGAGGAGACAGTGCTCAGTGCCAGGGGCAGCAGGGCCATAGTCCATCCCTGATGCTGTGACTCTGGGTGCTCACACTCAGAGCTCCACAATCCACCGAGCCAGGAGCAGCCGCTGCCAAATGTTGCCTCAACTTTGCCATACAAATGACCAACAAAATGCTGAAAAAACATGGGTTTTTTCCCCTTGTAACAGCAAAATTTACTTACCATGTAAAACTGCATTTAAGCTTTATTAAGTGATTTGTTCTGACGCAGTTCATACCCTTTGAGAACTCTCCCCCCCCCCCCATTACTTTTTAGCCAAGGGCTAAAGGGCACGCAGGGCCTGATTTTTCAAATATGTTTGTCTGGGATGCAGAAGAGAAAACAGTGGCTCTCTCTGGAATATCTCAATGTGCATTCCGCTAGTTTAAATGCAAATCAGGTAATAATACACTTCTTAAAATCCCACTTCATCTGAAAGTCCTATTTTCTTGTCTGCATAATGCGTGTCCTAAAACTGAACTCAAAGAGCACCTGATTAAAAACTGAAGGGCTGTTTTGTTGGTTTTTTTCAAGACTGTTCTCCATAAAATAGACACAATCACATATTCTCACCACTTTCAAACTTTTTTCTACATTGGAACATAGCTTGTTTCAACTGTTTCATAAATGCATTGCAACCCTACCAGATCACGAGAAGCTACTCCATACTGTTAATAGCATGCCAGAAAAAAAACCTCAGATTAAAGCTCAGCTTTCTAAATGTCAGATAAAACCCTGCCTGACTCTGCGCAGGTCTGTTTGTTAGCGGCGCTAAGTTTCTCTGTCAAGCTTTGGCCCTGCATTTTTTGAGTGGATTCCAGCCTGGGAGGGAAGCAAGCTTGGCAGCTCTGCTTCTCCACCTTTCCTCTCCCACGGAGCCCCAGGTGGGGTGGGCAGCACGGCCGTGGGCCAGAAGGGTAGAGCCGAGGCGCTTCTTCCTCTCAGCGTGCCTAGAAAAACATACAAGGCTCTCCTGTAGACCTCACACTTGGGTTACATCCCAGCTCACGTCCTTGGCTTTCCTAGCCACCCCTGGGATAGGACCTCTTATTTCCTTCCTTAGCCCTGTGCCAGATCTTAAGGTGGTGGTCAAGGCTTTCTCATCTTTTTACCCCTTATAGCTTAAAGATCAGATATTTTTTTTCTTTTCTTTCCTAATACTGAAGCTGCAGGGTATCATGAGACTCCACAAATATCCCAGTATTTAATCAAGTTTTAGTCTTCAGTGCTCCAGAAGGTGGCAGAAACCAGACACTTCACTTAGACGTTGCCTGAAGATTCAGAAACCAGAGGGTAAAGAAATCCATATATTCTGGCCTTATTTTGATCTCACGCTTTGAAGCAGAGCTGGCTGATGACTTCTGGAGAATGTCGCCACCCGTGTAAACGAAGAATCAGTTAGACCTATTTTTCTCCCAGAAAAAATATTTCTGTATTTAAAATGAAGGGCTAATTTAGCTTAATTAGAAGAGCTTTAGTTCGATACCTTAAATGACTAACCTATGACTTATGATAACAATATCTTTTTCTCAGCAAGGAATTCTATTTCTTAATGTAAACATCACATCCCTTCCATGCTAATATCCAGAGCTTTTAGCAGCTGTGGTGCTGAGCACTGCTCACTTCATTAACTTCAGCAACGCTCTGTGTAAAACTTTTCAGCCCAGGCACATCATTGCATTTACCTTCCTGATGGAAACAATACCCACATATAAATCTCAACCCTGGGGAAATTATAGCTAAACAAAACCCAAATAAATGTTAACACTTCCCATTTAATTAACCTCGTTTTCCCATTTTCATGTGTAAAACATGAGCTGCAGCTCTGATCAATTACTTCTCACCTCCATCAGGTGTTCATGTTACTGATATGTGAGAGGGTACTCAAAGATGCTGTAGAAGAGGAGGGAAAGGAAAGGAAACCAGAACAATTTCTAATTTCCCTGCAGTGCCCTAGGTTTAATTCAGAGCTATTTGGGCTGCATGTTTGGAGTTGCCAACTAGCTCCAGAGCCGTGGGACATGGAGCCCTTCTAGCACTTAGGGAATCAGTTTTTGGCTTTTTGAGAACGTGCATGATATGGAGAAAAAGCCCATAGAATCAGGCATGGGCTAAAGCTGAGACAAGTCCCTCGCTGGAGGTGAGCAGACAGTGCTGTTCGGGGTGGTGACACTTTTTCATGTCTTGGTCCTGGCCAAGCAATGTCAGTGATGTGCCCCAGTGTTACCAGGTGGAGCAACTTTTGGAATAGCCTCAAATTTCAGGAGCACCTCAGCATGTGGCTCTGCCTGCACAGCATGGTACCTACCCCAACTGGTGCTAACCAGGAGTTCTGTCTGCACTCTCAGCAAATACCGAGAGCTGAATGGAGCAAAAGTCCAAACTAACTTTCCACCTGTAGGTGGTTTGATTTGACCTTAGGACACACCAAATGATGCAATCAAGGACCAGGAAACCCATTCAGAAAGAAGCAATGCATGGGAGGAACAGGAGTAGAAACTGTAGAGGTACTGAGACGCTGGAGCTCTGGGTGATACTGTGGAGATGTCAGGAGACAAGGAGCACACAGGCTGTAGTGTTTTGGCATTTAACTTTCAAAATACTTTATAATCTCCTGCCCCACCCCTATCTTCTCTTGTCATGAGACAACATGGTTCGGAACTGACAATGGCAAAATGAACAATCCCACAATACTTGCCAGCCAGGTCCATCAAGTGATGGCTATATCCTCTCTGATGGTGGTGACAGACTATCAGAAAGCATACAAAAGAGTAAAAGCAAAGACTGGGATTAATGAGGAGGAACAGCTCTTGAAAAAGCCCATTTTTTCACCCAGATGTCCAGGATAGTGAAGACACGGCATTTCAGAAGACCACACATTTCAAAGCTGGCTTTCTGGAAAACATAGCCACTCATTTCCCAGGGACACCACAGGTGCATTGAACTCTGGCTGAAGTCACAGGAAAGGCTGATGCCCAGGTGGGGCATCCATGAGCTCAGACACTTCCCATGATACTTGTAGAAGGCCCATGGAAGCCCGTCAGGAGATAGACACAGTGAAATGTAAGTCAGATGACCCATGGCTTGGACCAGGACAGGAATGAAAACAAAGCCATATGGTTATTTCGCTTAGTTGATTGACCTATAATTAGAAATAAGTTACTATTTTATTTTTACTATTCCTTAAACAGTCTGTCTCAGGAAAAGCTTTCAACAATTTCTCTTGTGATATTATTCTCTTTAGAGGCCAAGAGAAGGTTAAATTCTTTTGAGAAACAGTTTTTTACAAAATCCAGGAATAGATCCTATCTACGTGAGTAGTTTCAATATTCATAACAGAACAAAATGAGAACTCAGGGATAAATTGCTGCAAATTTCTAAGCAGACGAAATTCAAATCCTCATTTTTGCTCAGGTCAATCATCCTTTTTATATCTGAGTGTTCTAATCTATATCTAACATCAGTTCAAAATGCCTTGTGTTAGCTTGAAAAAAGTAATGTTAACTCACAAAGTGAATGAAGATGATGCAATACATTCCTTTAATTTTCCGATGTGGTTTCATAACTACGAGAGCCACCTGATGCACGGACCATTTGTCCCTTCATATGAGACAAATACATACTATACCAAAGGTCCCTTTTCCCTCTACTCTGGGCTGCATTATAATGATCATGCCATGTCAGTTTGCTGGCCAAATGTAACTTGCTTTCTTCCCCCCCCTCTTTTTTTTTTGGTTGGAATCAGGATAATGGTACTAGTGCTAAGGATAAGATTACATTAGAGGAGTCACGCTGCTATGCTGACAGTGGTATAGGTTTTACTCATGAATTCGTGGTACTTAATATTTTGAGCAGGATGTAAAGCAAGCAGTGGCACAGATCAGACACCCACATTGAGTCCAAAGTGCCAAACAAAGCTTTCCACTTGGAAGAATTAGTATCTGGAGCTGGGATAATCAAGGCAGGCATCAGAGCAGAACTAATGAGTGATATTTACCTGAATTGCTTAGGAGTCTCTAAAATAGTGCAATAATGTGGTGTGTGTTTAATGCTTGGTGTAAGTGTGCATCAGTTTTAAATGTTCTCCCAAACTCCTGTCTTCCCAGTACCCCAGCAGGGCCCTCGAGCTGAAAATCCAGCCCTAGAGAAGAGCTGGGAGGGCAGCTGGAAGGTATTTGCCACTGGAGCCTGGGCACATCCTCTCTCCAGCCGTGGCAAGGTGCCTGGTGGGTGCTGGAAAACCTCCTCCTTGCTCTCACAAACACTCTGCACAAAGTTAATCGAGGCAGCAGCGGTCTGGCTAAGGGGGCTGAGAACTGCTGAAATTCGCTGGTTTGTTGTGGCTTTGTTGTTGCTAGGTTCTTGGGTTTGGGCAAGGAAGATAAGTAGGTCTATGTTAGTGGTTTTGTCCAAAAAATGCCAGAGCCCCAGAATATTGGGTGTCTTTTATCTGAGTTTTTGCAAATCCAAAGAAGAAAAGCATTCCAAAAAAGAAATCAGCAAGGAATTGAAAAAGATACCTGATGTGAATATATAATTAAAATGCTAATTGCCCTGTCGAGGGGGAAAGAGAATTGCTGTTTGAAATAATGAATGAGCGGTGCCAGCGGTGCAAAAGTTGAAAAGAGCTCTCTGAAACGACAGCCCGAACAGGAGCCGCAGAGGAATGCATTTAACCTTGTTTTCTGCTGCCCTTCCTCACTTGGGTACTAATGAAGTACTAAACTTACGAGCACTGTCACTTCCCACCCTAGTTTATTCGCAGCATCTTGTTCTCATGCCCATTTCTCAACAAAAAAGCTTTCCTCAGGAAGATGAATATGGGTATGAGCGTGAACATCTGAACCGAGGTGCTTTGTACCCTGGAAAATGGCGCTGGGGAATCCGAGCCCCTCAAAGCCAGGGAGCCTTTTTGCCCCCGACTCTGCCCTTAATTCATTTGTACAAAGTTTCTTCGTACTGACCATTGGTGGCAGAAAACATAAATTGTAAAGGCTAATGGAAACCTGTGAAATGCCAGAGGTTAAAGCCAGGAACTTTTATTAACATAGTGATGCTAGGTAAGGAAATTATTTTAAATATTTCTATAGTAACAAAACCAAAAATACAAAGCCACACTTGGAAGAGGTGTTTTTTCTAACAGCTTCTTTTTATCCTTTCCCCTGAGAATTGCCTGTGCTGGCCACAGGTTACCTGCCTGACCCAGTCCTTCAGTGACACTGGACCTTTGCAAACCGACTTGAGCAGGAAACTGGAAAGATGACGAGATTTGCAGTTTCTTATAAAAATACATGTAAATGACAACTCTCCCCATCTCACAGTATCCCACCTGAAAAGAAAAAAGGATTGTGATTAAAAGTGTTAAAAACTGAAAGAATTTTGGGCTGGTTTCTGTTCTCAGGAAGTTCAGTTTAGGAGATGAAGGAAGGAGGAAGAAGCCAGCCCGGCGGGGATGAAAGCTGGCCATGCCCAGGCACCACCAGCCCAGTAGTTTTCCAGCACCCTTTACAAAACTCAGTTCAGTGGTTTTTCTGTCTGTTATGGTGGAACAGGTTTTCTTGTGGTTTTGATTTAAAAAAAAAACAAAACTTATAAACAAAGACAGTGTGATGAAGCAGAAATCTCTACCTGGGCACACCCTCTCACTGGGGAGGGTAAATAAATGGCATTTCTGTGTGTATTTTCAGCTCTCATTCCTCACATTCAAACTCCACCCATTGTACCAATCATCCCCAAAACTATCAGCAGGTCTCCTGGCACACATATAAAACCGGGACAGGTCAGGACAGCTCTCACATAGTGGGCTATACATTGCCTGGTGCTTAATTTTATTGAAGCTGAGGAGCTCTAACAGGTGTCAGAAGCCACGATGTCGGGTAAAAGTCTCCAGGGACTGAAGGAACAGGCTGGAGGTGCAGCAAAAGATGCTGGTAAGTTTAAATATCTTTGTACAGTTGTGGGGGGGCTTAGCTTCTGCTTTTGCTTACAGAAACCACCATCTGTAGTTACACTACTAGCTCCATCAGTGCTAGCAGGACATACCTTTTCCTTTTCTTTCAATTCCTGGGGCCAAGCTTTGGCCATCGCCTAGAGAAGGCCCCGGGCTTGCCACAGCTCTCGGCTCAGCATGGGCAACCACCTCCACCCACCCACAGCTCCCTCACCAGCTGCTGAGCATCGTCCAACCCTTATCGCTCTCCAAACTTAGTGTTTTCAGAGCAGTAAAGCCTGTCTTTGTAGCAATAACCTTTTGTATCTAGCATTTACATTGCTCAGCGTGGTTCTTTCTCATGTTCTGCAGAGTTTTTTTTAACTGCTCTCCTTTCAGGAAGTTGGGCTTAAACTTTGATTAATGTTTGCTACTTGGCCTGACTATCAGTGCCTTCTGGTAATAACTGTATTGATTGCAATGGACTGTTTGTAATAAGTAGTACAAAGATGTTTCTGTTGTACTCTTCCCCAGCAGCGATCACCAGACTTTGCAGGGTTTAAGAGAATCTCTGCACACATTTCCATCATAATTATGCCCAAATTGTAGGGCCCAAATTGTAGGGCTAAGCTCTGTATCATTACCGCTGTGCATTGGAAACCAGCTTTTCAATGCAAAATGTGATAGCTTTGCTTTTAAATGAAAAATTCCAATGTGTGCAGCTTACACTAGCATTTTATAGCATATTCCTTACAGTGTTTGCATGACAGTCATTCTAGCAAGTTATAATTTGTATCAGTCCTGGATTCTGATCCTGCAAATGCTTTGTTTAATAGCTGAAATACGTGAATAACTGCACTGACTTACAGAAAGATTCCATACACCTGGGAACAAATGTATGGTAGACCTAGAAACACCACAGTACATCTTTCTGAGAAACAGAATACTCCTTGCTACATCCTGAATATAGTCGTGCCATTGAGGGGTCACTTCTAGCAAAAGTGATAGGATGGCTTTCACTCTTTCATAAACCATCAGACATCTTACAAATACATGGCATCTCACTTTTTTAGTGGTTTATAGTCTGGGGTTGATCTGTTATGTCCCTCGCTTCTGCTCCTCTTCTTCCCCAATTTATATCTTATTTGTAAAATCTCCCTTTTCCTGTCCTGCTCTGTTTAATGTGTTTGCTTCCATTTTGGAGAAGGCACTTCTCCCAAACAGCCTGCAATGAAAATGTATGCTAAATGGCCAAGCTCCTCCAAGCAGAACACACTAGAAAAATCAATAAAAGCAAGTGTGGTGTAAATTAAGCAACTTGCAGCTAAATGTCATCATTCCAACTCGCTGCTAATCTTTGCTTCTTTATCTCGTTTTATCTTCTCATCTGTCACCCATTTGCTCAGCTGACCGTAGGGAGTAGGTGAAGGCTAATCTCATAGCAAACTGCTCTGGCAGCACGTGTGGTTCTGGGGGTGCCCAGAGCAAAGCACACAGCCTCTGCCTGCTCTGGCCAGGGGCATAACCTTCCATGGACATGCAGGAAAGACGATTGAGATAGGAAATTCCCATAAGCATTAAGTGTGAACAGCTGGAAATGAATGTATTTTTTTTTTTCCTTGATTACAGCAAACACGTTGGGACAGGCTACTCAGGATGCAGTCAACCAAATTACAGATGCAAGCCAGAAAGGTAGGAGAAATGAGGTGCAAATCAAGAAGCCATGGGGCAGCTCAAGACAAGCCAGCAGCAAGCAGTGCTCATTCCCCCTCCGTCCTGCGGGAGCCCTCAGCCTGAAAGCCCTTAGTTTCAGTGACAATTTTTAGCCTTTTGCAAATCTCATGGGAAAGGATTTTAGGATCTGTTGCTTAGTAGCTCTGTATGTTTACTGGCCAATGCACCATGGCAGCTGACACCCCCATCGCCACCGAGTCTCATGCAGATTTTGGCTTCCTTTGTAGAAAACTTGCAGGAACAGCGTGGAGAGAACTTTGCTCTTCTCTCTTGAGGACTGAGTAACCCTGTTATCCACCTTACCTCTCCAGCTCAGAGGGCAGGGGTCTGCCCAGGTCCAGCCCCCGGCCAACCCCCAGCACCTGCTGAGGCAGCAGCTGGGGTCGAACATTAATAGTCCTGCAGATGGAAAGGTGCCATCAGGAAAGTGCTGGTGTCTCATTTCTGACGATTGGAAGGAAGTTAAACTAAAAACTAAGCTTAGTTCTCACTTCATTTTAATAATTTTCTAAGAATGAGGGGAGAATTAGCAACTTTAGGGTCTAAAATGTTTAGTGAAAGCCAAAATGCATTGACAGTATCTCCTTAGAGCAAATACCCTCTGTAGCTCCATGATGCGATGAGAAGGAAGTGCTTGGGCACTTGTCCCAAACACCCCAGTATTCACAGCACTTCTTACCCCAAAACACCCTCCTCCATCAAGCAGGCCACACGTACACCAAAATCGATCTATTCCAGCTTTGTCCCATCATTCATCTCGTGCTGCTTCAGCTCAGCACCCAAAACTTCAGTGACCACTCCGATTTGGCAATGCCTTACAGCCCGTCCCAAATGCATCCTGCTGAACCCAACCATAGCCAGCTGTGGAGAATCTTCTTTTTTAATGATATATCCCTATATTTTTATAGTCTGATCATTTTCACACTTCTCCCTTCCATCATAAATATTAAACCATGTTGCATTTTTCCAGCTTTTTGCTTATTTTTTTCCCCTCTCTTGCAGCTATTGACAAGGCTTCCAAGACGGCGCAAGATGGGGTAGAGAAAGCAACCGGACAAGCTGCAGAAGCATTGTCTGGCCTTGGGAAAAAATGTGGATTTAAGAAATGATGCTAATTTAGGCAAGCAGTATTGCATATAAAAAAATATCTCTTTGGTCTGCAATTCCCTACTGCTTTGTGTGGAAAAAAAAAAAAGCTATTTAAGATCCGGATAATTTCTCTGTCTCCAAATACAAAATTTTAAGGCAGAAGACACCCTTCCCCCATCCTTCATATAGGAAAAATACATCTTTTAGCACATCTTGTAACATCTGTTACATGGCTCATAAGGCTTCAGCAATGCTATTGCCCTGCTCTTACAACAGTGCTATGATTATTGCCACATTTGCTGAGTATGTTTCCAAAGCCAGCGAAGCAGTTCATGCTCCAGGACACCAGAATGTTCGTGTGATGAAACCAACTTTCCTTCCAGTAATCAGAAGCTAAGCTGGGGTTATATTTCATGTCAGCTGTTCGTTTGTTCCCATTTGCTGTATTTTCAGATTAAGATAAATAAAAGGTATTGTAGGATTTCCACCACCCAGAAGTACATCACCTTTTTATGTACTCTTGTTATTTTTTTGAGCTTTCGGAGAAGAATCACATAAAGTCTCTTCTTCCTTTTTGATTCAACACCCTGTGAGGTCAGTGGGCATCCTGTAAGGGAGGTGAGTACTGAGCATTGGGCAGGTTGGCAGACAGACGTAGGGAAACCAACAGCCCCATGCCACAGAGTGGTCTCTGGGAGTGAACAGGAGTTTTGCTGCCCACCCTCTCACCCTTCCTCTCCTACGTCTGCTGCCAGCCTAGATATCTTGCTATGCACAACACATCTCTGTCAAATCTCACAGAGGGAAAAAACAAAATGGGATGCTTTATCCCGGAGGCAATGGTGCTCAGGGATGGAGCTGACAAGAGAGAGGCAAGTGGGCAATCCTCTCGCCTAGGAGATGGAAATATTTATTTTAGATTGCTGCTTGCTGGGCAATCAGAGGCGGCTGCAGCCAGACAGGATGCCCACTTAGTGCTGCCTCTGTCAACACAAGCCACTAATACCCACTTATTCACAGTAAGTGCTCTTGCTTTGGCCTCCGGGTCGTTCTCATTGCTAGGCAATATTTTCTTTCTTTTCCCTCTTTCTTATTTTTTATTATTTTCCTCCTGGTTTGAAGCCTTACCAGCCCGATTTCAGTAAGAAGCTAGTCCTGACCCTGCTAAAGAAAACAAAGAATAGCCAAAAGCATCTGGATTTAATTAAATGGGGTAATCCAGGCCAGCTTGAGATACTGCTGGCTCTCACCTGTTGACAGAAGAGCCATGATTGACCAGGGGGTTCTGCAAGCAGAGCTTTGGGAGTGCAGTCCTAGGAGAGACTGTCTCACCGCTGAACCCAAAGACCTGCAATCTGCACCAGGATGGCATGGACTGGAAAGCCTTTAGAGGATCCTATAAGTAATAGACCATCTGTGAGTAAACATAGTCCAGGGCTGTGCACAGAGTGTCCCAATGCAATGTCCCCTGTCATTTTAAGCTTTAAAAGCCTAAATATTTACCCAAGTACAAGCTCACAGAAAAAGCATTAGACTATTGCACTCTCAGTTACTGGGCAACCCTCAATAGTACTTAATTATTTAGTACTTTCCATGGTTACCTCCCTGATGGTGAAATCTACAGAGAATGAGCCCTTTAAGTTTGGTATTTCAGACACCAGTGCTGCGTTTGTGGGTGATAGTGGTCCATACACCACTCTCCATCACACCTGTTTTTTTTTTTTTCTGCAAGCCATTTCCTAGTTCATAATACAAAAAAAAAAAAAAAAAAAAAAAAAAAGAAAATTTTTTTTTTTTTTTTTTTTTTTTTCCATTTTTGATTAAAAAAAAAAAAAAAAAAAAAAAAAAAAAAAAAAAGGAACAGTTGTGGGGTTGTTGCCAGTAAAACCTGTTATCTCCTTACATGACTGGTTCTATTCCTGCTGCTTTATGCGTGAGGAATGTAGCCCTGACTCCTGGCGTGTGGTTTTTATGTTTTTTTATTCCAACCACAGAGGACATCTTCAGTGTAACTACACCAGTTGTAGCTGCTCTGGCCCAGTGTTGGCAGCAGCACTGGTAGAGGCTGGACTGGCTGGCTGGAGGGACCACTGCAGGTCATCCACTGGATCAAGAGTGGAGAAGCACCTTTCTCCATGTGGTCAAGGAGCTCTAGGAGACAGCTCCTGACTCCTGCTCCCCTGCACAGGGATGCCCTTGCTATTTCAGCATGGATCCCAGGAGCCTGGTGAGAGGATTTCACATCTCTTTTGTCCTGAGGGTGCATGCTGTGCCACAGGCACCCGTGAGTCTGAGTCACTTGCTGGCAAGTGGTTCTAGGTCTAAATTTTAGAGCTTTGCTCCACAAACAAGGTCACTGCCTTATTCACAGTGCTCTTTGGCCTTAGAGTATTTGGGGCCATCCCGCCCTCGTGCATCACACGGGGAGCTGTGTCCCAACCCAACCGTACCTTCCCATCACACCTGAGAGCTCCAAGTGTTGTGTAAAAGCAAACCAGGCATCCCAAAAGCTCCTACCAGTTCATGTGCCATCAGCCCTAGAGACAGGTGAAGTTACCTAACACCTGAGTTCTCAAATTTCCTAAAATTTGCTTCTGGGTGTGCCCGTAGCTGCCTGAGCCGTGAAATGCTGAGCGAAGGGGATTCATGTGCCAGCCTGACCAGGCTGCCCAGCATGAGCACCACCTGCCCCATGCCCTGGTCAATGCCCTGGAGACCTTCCTGGGAGGTGGGACGTCTCCCTTTCGCATCTCAGGGGGCACAGGTTTTACCACACTGCTCAAAACCCATCTTCAGCTCCTTCCTTTGCCCAAGAAAGCATGAATCCTCACCTCAGGTGAATGCTTTGATAATGGTCTATGGATTACCAACGATCCAGCTTTTCTGAAACCTGTCTTTTCAGCCGTAGTTTCCCGTCATGTGACAAAATGCAAAGGTGATTTTTTTTTTCTAATTCCCCGCCATCTCTACCCCAGCCCGGTGCCATTTCCCAGGCTCCCGTGCAGTTTCCAGCCCCGGAGCTCAGCTCACCTCCCTGCCAGCACCGCAGAGCTCCAAGCCTCGCTGGCCTGCGTGAGGATTTGCATGAAGCTATTTTCATTTTGCTCACAAGCCCTGCCTTAACAGATGCTTCTCCTGCTTCGTGTCAGCCCCTCGGCTGCTGCCAGTACCGCAGCAGTGCACATGGACCCCCCCACCACACACACAAGTGATGCTTGTTTAGTTCCCCTTTTGCCCTCAGGTAAGAAATTATCAGGAATTTCATGCAGACAACTCCGTTTTGTAAGTAGCTACTTCTTCCCATTTCATACCAGTTCACATATATATTTTTTTACTCCTTTCTTTGCCACTCCCAGACCCAGCACAGGCAACCGGGAGCACCCTTTGAGCATTTCTAGCCCTCGGGGTTAATTTTAGAAGCCGGGAGAGCAGAGCCAGTGTAAAAGCTGGGCAGCAGAGCGCAGGACTGCTGGGCACTTTCTCACTGCTCTTCTGTTGGCCTTGGCATGAGCAGCCCCCCAGGACCTGTCTGCACCAGCTCAAGCTTCCCCCAGGTCCCACTCTCAGGCTTGGTGGCTCTGGCTGCCATTTCCCACGCCTAACTTAGGCAGCATTTATGAAATCCAGAAATACATCCTCCTTTCTCCTTTAGGACTAACCCTCTGCCTTTTTACCCTTTTTTCCCAAGTCCCCCTTTTTGCGGTTAATCAGGTTCTCACCCCATGTCCCCGACCCCAGACCCCACAGGCTCCTCTTGGCCCTCTGTGGGCTGGGGGGCTTTCCTGGCCCCAGGGCTGAGTGAAGGGACACGGGTGACTGCTGCAGGAGGCCAGCGGGTGCCAGGAAGGAGCTGTAGCCAAGGCCATGCCAGGGCTCATGGAGCAGGAGTGGAGGAATGGCCGGCTGCTTCCTGAGGACACCATGGAGAAACCTCTCACCATGAGAGGGGGCAGCCTATCTGTAGGAAGAAACTCGCCTTCTGAAATGACAGAACAAGGGGTAACGGTTTTAAATTGGAAGAGGGGAGATTTAGATTAGATACCAGAAAGAAATTCTTTACAGTGAGGGTGGTGAGGCACTGGAACACGTTGCCCAGAGAAGCTGTGGATGCCCCATCCCTGGAAGTGTTCAAGGCCAGGCTGGATGGGGCTTTGAGCGACCTGCTGTGGTGGGAGGTGTCCCTGCCCATGGCAGGGGGGTTGGAACTCAATGATCCTTAAGGTCCCTTCCAACCCAAACCATTCTATGACGTTATGAAATAAACGTGAAGTTGGATAAGCTGCTGCTGCGTTGGATGCTGTTCTCCATAAGCCGCTGGTCCCTGCTGGGGGTGAGGCAGCGGCGCTGGCTGCTCCCCCTGACAGCGTCATGCCATCACACCCTGACTCAAAAAATCCCAGATGCCTCCCTGCCACCCTCCAGCCCCTCTCCTTCCCGTGGGGCAGCAGCAGCAATCGGCAGGAACGGGGCAGGTGGCTCGGAGCACCCCGGCAGGTCACGGGTGGCAATGTTTGACACGGGTATGTCCACTCTCCACACTGTTCTCCTCATGCTCCCAGGCAACCATGACTGCGGGGTTAAGGATGTTGGAGGGCATATCCCAGTCGCTCCCTGGAGTCTCCGGACAAGAATGGATCTATTGTCTGTCATGTTGTCCAGCTTCTTTTTGGAGCTGCCAGCACTGTCTGCTCCCAGAGCCCGTGGCGGCAGCGAGTTCACTGGGGTTGGCTACCCACGGGACCAAAGCAACCTTCCTTTCATGTTTTAAATTCCTCTCCTACCAATTGCTCAGATTGAAACCTTCACTTGAAATCTGGCAAGGTTTGGCACCTAAAGGGCCCTGCTGCAGGCAGGGATGGCCTGGGGCGGGGGAGCCCATCCCCATATCCCACCGGCACCTGGGCCAGGGCTGCTCAGCTGTGCTGGGGAGGCTATAAAGGGGCTGTGGGAGGGGACACCTGGGGAGATCCTGGCTGCAGATCATGGTGGGCAGGTAGGAGTGAGGCATGTGAGGTGGCTGGGCACTTTGTGGGGAGACAGGACGTTGGTGGCACATTGCGTGGGTGGCGTGGTCGCTGTGACGTGGTCGCTGTGGCTTTGACTTCTGCTCCCACCCTGTGTGGGGAGGCTGAGATGGCCCTGAGTGGTGGGGCTCAGCCAGGCTGGGGTTTGGGTGCCCCACAGCTTGTGGCAAAGGATGCCAGGTTTTGTCTCTCTGTGTTTGCCCGTGCTGGCTGGCGGCTGGGCTCAGGACACGTATCTGCTTGTGCCTTGGCAGCTTTAATCCCTGTTTTTGCAAGCTGTGCTGGCACTGCTGGCTCTGAGCAGCGGTCCTGGGCACGGGGAGGGGTGCCAGCTGCAGGGACCTGTCGGTGCATGGGGATGAGCCCTGCCGAGGTGGTGGGAGCTGAGGCCCCACTCTCGTTAGCCCCTGTGCACTAACGAGCAAAGTTCACTGT